AAATCATGATTTAAGCATTTAGGTAATCTCATGCTTAACCTACAAGTTGTAAGCAATTAGATGTCAATCCTCACCTCAATTGAGCTTTAAACTTTCCCCTCTTGGTCCAATGGTCAAAGCTTTGGTCAAGGTGGATTTGGAACTAATTCCTTGCTCAAATATGAGTGTTAAGCAGCCTCCTCAAGGTGCTAGTTCAACCCTTAATCGTTGATACGAAAACAGCCCCTAGAATGGGTGTTTTCCGGTTAACTCGTTTCCTAGTTTTCCAAGATTTGCTCTAGGTTAGTATCCAACCTTTACACACATAAAATAACTTTATAAGGACATATTATACACTTAAATTAGTGTATAATAGTCCCACCAATCGTTCATATCATTTGGAGAATGAAAAGTAAAGTTTTGGGGTTAAAACTCACTTTAGAAGATTAAATCCTCTCCTGCGAGGTTGTGTTTTGCTCGGACGGTTTGGACGCCTTCCACTACTCCGATTGAAGCAAACCAGGCCTTCACGGATTCCTCGTCTTGAGATCTTTCCTTTGGTAGATTACACGCCTTATTTGGATGTGTATAACTCGAGATATGAAGCAAACAAGTAACCCTTGCACTGGAGGAAAACCTGCGGGCAGTTTGCTTTCTCCTTGGTCTTTTGGGTTGTGTGGCTCTCTTCTTCTCTCTTATCTAGGGGAGTTCGAATGGGAGCTGTGGGAGTGTTATCTTGGCCTTAACATATCCTCAAAAGTCAAAGGATAGGAGTGGGTTGGCATGTGGGATGATGGAGCAAGATACCTTCAATCAAAAAAAATGGGGAGAGGGTCCATTTGTCCTCAAACATGTCTTGTTCAGCCCCCCTCTCTTTTTGTCCGCCCCAACCATGGATTTTAACTCATTCTCTTTATTTTGCAGGTGCCAAGAAGGTGTGGGGTGCTCCCCAAGTGATCCCAATCAATTTGGGGTCCAAAACATCTACCAATACTTCCAAAAAATGGGAAGATGGGTCCTATTGTTTTATCCTTTGTCAAAAGATGTCTTTTTGTACTTATCCTAATTTATTTAGAACAAGTCAACTTCCTACATCACATTATTGATCTCCAATATGTGTAGGCTCATCTCAATAATTTACTTGATGGATATTATAGAAGGAAAAAGTCTTACTCCCATTACTTAGCTCAATAATGTCAAAGATGGGATTATAGGCATTTGTATTCTTCTCTAATCATCCTATCACTTATCTTGATAATGTTGGGCTCTTTTATTTACTAATAAGTCCCGAATAAGTATTTGCAAAACCCGGCACTAATGTACGAGTTTGAATCGTACGATATTCAAACATGCACTGCGTAAAACGTCAATTGTTTTAAATACATAGCCTTAAATCTTAAATTGCATTCTTCATTAAGGACGTTCGGGTGCGGTGTCACAAGTTCACCCCCCCTTAACAGGAATTTCGTCCCCGAAATTCACAGCTCTACTCGAATAGGAAAGCATACTGCTTCCTCATCAAAGCCTCTGTCTCCCATGTCTCTTCTTCGACCCGATCGCTCTTCCAAAGAACTTTCACCATTGGGACTTCTTTACTCCTCAATTTCTTCACCTTCCTGTCGGTGACCCTGATTGGTTGCACCGCGTAGTTCAAATCCTCACGTACCTCCACAGGCGGCTTTTCCAATACGTGAGAGGGATCATGCACATACTTCTTAAGCATGGATACATGGAACACATTATGTATCTTCTCTAACTCAGGAGTCAACTGTAGACGATATGCTACGGCCCCAATCCTCTCTATAATTCTGAATGGACCTATATATCGTGGGTTAAGTTTTCCTCGGGTTTGGAATCGAATGATCCCTTTCCAAGGAGAAACTTTCAAGAATACCTCGTCATCAACCTTAAACTCTAAGGTTCTTCGACGCTTATCTGCATAACTCTTTTGTCTATCCTGAGCCGCTTGGAGTCTCTCTCGAATCAACTTCACCTTTGATTTGGTGACCTCAACCAACTCAGTACCCTCGAGTTTGGCCATGCCAACCTCGTCCCAGCATAACGGTGTACGGCACCTCCTCCCATACAATGTCTCGTATGGAGGCATACCGATGCTTGCCTGATAACTGTTGTTATAGGCAAATTCCACAAGTGCTAAGTGGTTGTCCCAACTTCCTTGGAACTCCAACGCACAAGCCCTCAGCATGTCTTCTAGGATCTGTATGACTCTTTCAGACTGCCCATCCGTCTGTGGGTGGAAAGCAGTACTGAACTTCAACCTCGTTCCCATAGACTCCTGAAATTTTGGCCAAAAACGTGATGTGAATCGTGGGTCTCTATCAGATACAATGGTCACTGGGACCCCGTGCAGCCTCACGATCTCATCCGTATACAATTTGGCTAACCTCTCAAGTGGGTAAGTAGTGTTGATAGGCAAGAAGTGTGCACTCTTCGTGAGCCTATCTACCACAACCCAAACTGCATCATAGTTCCTGATTGTTCGTGGTAAACCTACCACAAAATCCATAGTCACGTGTTCCCACTTCCATTCAGGAATGGAAAGTGGTTGCAATAAGCCTGCTGGATGCTGATGTTCTGCCTTAACTTGTTGACAAGTAAGGCATCGACTGATATATTCGGCTATTTCTCTCTTCATACCCGACCACCAGTAACTCTCCTTCAAGTCGCGGTACATCTTCGTGCCCCCCGGGTGCATGGCATAAGCCGATGAATGAGCTTCCTCTAAGATGGACTTTCGGAGCTCATCATCTGCCGGTACACACACTCGGTCACGAAATAGTAAAAGACCGTCATCTCTTTCTCTGAAGTCCTCCACCGGTCCTGCTTCTATGCGTTCCCGGATCTTCATAATTTCTTCGTCCGTTTCCTGACCCTTCTTGATCTCATCAAGTAACGTAGGTCTCACCTCAAATCGTGCCAATAAGCCACCATCGCTGGATACCTTCAGTTGGGCTCTTAATGCCCTCAAATTAGCTAGCAATGCCCCAGACGAGCTCTTCCGGCTCAAAGCATCTGCTACCACGTTTGCCTTGCCGGGGTGATACTCTATCACTAGATGGTAGTCTTTTATCAACTCCATCCACCGTCTCTGTCTCATGTTTAGCTCTTTCTGGGTAAACACGTATTTCAAGCTTTTGTGATCAGTGTATATGTGACATGTCTCCCCGTAGAGATAATGTCTCCATATCTTCAGTGCAAACACCACTGCCCCCAGCTCCAAATCATGAGTAGGATAATTCACCTCATGCTTCTTCAACTGTCGTGAAGCATAGGCGATTACCCTCCCATTCTGCATCAGTACACATCCAAGCCCTTGGATGCTGGCATCGCTATAGACATCGTACCCCACACCCTGTTTGGGTAATGCAAGTACCGGTGCCTCGGTCAATCGCTTCTTTAGTTCCATGAACCCCTTCTCACATTTGTCATCCCATACAAACTTAGCCCCTTTACGAGTGAGCTTCGTCAATGGTGATGCCAAAACAGAGAACTTTTCCACAAACTTCCTATAGTAGCCTGCCAATCCAAGGAAACTACGAATTTCCTTGACGTTCTTTGGCCTCTCCCATTCGGTAATGGCTTCTATCTTCTTGTTGTCAACAGCAATTCCCGATCCAGAAACCACGTGCCCGAGGAAGCCAATCTCCTTCAGCCAAAATTCACATTTAGAAAATTTGGCATAGAGTTGCTTCTCCCGTAGTGTCTCAAGAACAAGTATCAAGTGCTCTTCATGCTCTTCTTCACTCTTTGAGTAAATCAAGATGTCATCTATGAACACAATCACGAATCGGTCCAAGTATTTATGAAATACTCGGTTCATCAAGTCCATGAATGCCGCCGGGGCGTTTGTTAACCCAAACAACATAACAAGGAATTCAAAATGCCCATACCTTGTGCGGAAAGCACTCTTTGGTATGTCATCTTCCTTAATCTTCAGTTGGTGGTACCCCGACCTCAAGTCAATCTTTGAAAACACGGTTGCTCCTCGTAGTTGGTCAAATAAGTCATCAATCCTAGGCAAAGGATACCTATTCTTGATTGTGACCTTGTTCAGTTGACGATAGTCAATGCACATTCGGAGTGTCCCATCTTTCTTTTTCACAAAAAGGACTGGTGCTCCCCACGGGGAGTGGCTGGGTCTAATGAAACCATTATCCAAAAGCTCCTGCAATTGGGTTTTCAACTCGTTAAGTTCAGCGGGTGCCATACGGTATGGCGGTATGGAGATTGGTTTGGTACCAGGCTCGACCTCGATCACAAATTCAATCTCCCTATCAGGTGGAAGCCCCGGTAGGTCTTTAGGGAAGACATCCGGGTACTTACAAACCACCCTCACGTCGTCAATGTTCGTTTCCTCCTTGGTTTTGTCAACCACGTATGCTAGATATGCGTGACATCCCTTTCTCATCATACTTCTCGCTCTCACGGCGGAAATAATACAACTGTTTGATTTGCCTCGATCCCCCTCGAAGCGTAGGGTGTCCCCATTATTGCCTTCGAGTTCCAAAACCTTTGTGTAGGAATCTACCCTAGCATGATGCTTTTCTAGCCAATCCATCCCTAGGATTGCATCGAACTCCATCATACTCAGCGGTACGAAATCACACGTCAAGGTTTGGCCATCAATTTCCACCTCACAAGATGGATAATAACTAGTTCTTTCGACATCATCCCCTAGTGGTGTTGATACCACTAATGTGTGCGTCATTGGTGTCGATTGTACCCCTAAGTCCTCGGCGAACACCTCCCTCACGAACGAACGTTGCGCCCCGGTATCGATAAGGATTCGTGCATCCTTCCCATTAATCTTTAATGTTCCTACATTTATAAGCCATGTAAGACACCATTCCTAACATGTCTAAACTTTATTTAGGGTTAGGGTGCATTTACCGTTCAAACGGGGTGGGCCCCGGTTTGATACGGAAAATTTTCGGACGAAAACAGCTTCGGACCGGCGCCGGTTCGGGCCTGACCGGCGCCGGTTGCCCGGGTTTAAACGTCCCAGCTGCACCGGTCATAGTGGGCCGGTTCCACACAGGCTCGCTCCAGGGAAGGTCCGGCGCCGGTTGGTGGGTGTCCGGCGCCGGTTGGGTGGTGTCGCAGGCTGTGAGCGCCGGTTATGGGGAGCCGGTCGGACACAGGCTCATCCCAGGGCATGTCCGGCGCCGGTTGGCCAGTGGCCGGCGCCGGTTGGCTGGAAATCTGCCCCGGTTATGCGCCGGTTGGAGAGGGCCGGTTCCAAACAGGCCCGCCTCATCGCTCTCTCCGGCGCCGGTTATGCGAAGTCCGGCGCCGGTTGCCCCCTTTTTTTGCACATTTTAATCTCAAACATGCCCATTTTGATCTTAAAGCGTTCGGGGCTTAATCCCAAAGGTGTGTGCACATAAGTACGACTAATTTACCACATTTTAATGAGATAATTACCTGCAACGGAATCCGGGTTCGCTTGGGCATCCGCCTCCGTCATCGCATAGACTCTAGCTCGAGTTCTTCCTTGATTCACGGATGGTGCGTTACTTGTACTTGCCCCCCCCGTGTCCCCGGCTTGCTTGAGAAGCCCCGGTTTGGTTCCGTGTACCCGTCGGACCGCTACTCGGTCCCGATGTCCTTGCCCCACTCAATTGTGGGCAATGTGCCTTCAAATGCCCGGCATCCCCGCATTGAAAACATCTAGGGGGGTCGCGACATTTACCGGAGTGGTTCTTCTTGCAATTGTTGCAACGAGCTACCACTGAGGTTTGTGACCTCGCGCCTTGCCCACTCGGGCCTTGGTTCCCCCTATTTGGTGGCGGTGGTGCCCGGAAAGATCCTCCTCCGTGGTTACCCTTTTTGTTGGAACCTTGGGAGCCATGACTCTCCCACTTTCTCTTTTTCGCCTCCTCGGCGTCTCTCTTCTTCCTTTCTTCCCATTGTTTCTCTCCTTTCAACCCTTGGTCAACCACTTGGGCAAACGTCATGTTAGGCAATTGTGTTGCCCTGTCACGTATCTCCAAGTCTAGAGCATCCCAGAAGTGGTTCACCATCCGGTTCTCGTCACAAGCATACTCAGGTATGTAATCGGCAAGATCCCTGAACTTGTACTCAAGTTCCCTCACCGTCATGTTACCCCCTTGGGTTAGAAGGGTGTATTCCCTCACTTTCTTGTTCACCTCAAAATCCGAGTAATATTGGGCAAAGAATTCCTGTCGGAAATTCTCCCAAGTGACGGTCTCGCCATATTTGCTTTTGGTCCCATCCCACCACTTGGATGCCAAACCTTCAAGCAATCTCACCGCAACCCTTAGTTTATATTCGGGGGTGAGTTGCATGTCCAGGGCTGCCTCATTCAGCCGCTTAATCCATTGTGCCGAAACGGAGATGTCACCCGTCCCATCAAACGGTTTGCACCCCAAGTCTCGTGCCTCTTTGATGTATTTGGAGATTCTTATGATTGGACCTCCATCACCCCGACCCCCATGTGGTTCAATGTGGGCCCTAGAGTCGCCATGGCTTCTCCCTCTTGAAGCCCCGCCCGAAGGTTGCCCAGCCCGGCGCCTTCGGCGTTCCCTCCTCTCCTCACGCTCACGGTGGTACTGTTGAAGTAGTGCTTCAATCCGTGCTAAGGAGCCATTTTCCTCCTCATCACTTACATCATCATCATCCCCTTCGTAAGGGGTCTCAACCGGTTCAGTTTCCGGTCGATAGGTCGAGTCCTCATAGGACCAGTAGGTTTCACTTTCCGTGTCGACATGACCGTCACTCACGGTCTGTGATCGGCCTCCACGGCCAGCTCCTCTAGATGCCCTAGAGGTCCTTCGACTGCCCTGTCCAGTCTCCACTGGTACACGACCCGTCGGGTTTCTCCTAGTAATCCTGCCACCACGGTCCATTTCTGAAAGAAATTTGGAAGGAGTCGTTAGACTCGTATCAAATGTCAATTGACGGATAGGTACTTAAGACACATTTTGGCTCGAGTCACCGCCATACCAATTGCTAAGGGTACCATCTTAACAATTAGAGACCTTGCAACCCAAGTACCAAAAGCTCTCCAAGTACAAAACTTCTATGCTCATGGTTTTCAAAATCTTTTCAAAAAGAGAATTTTGAGACTTCATTATGAAGTTTATGGACTAAGGCTCTGATACCAACTTAATTGTCACGCCCCGGACCTCCCCGGACACGTCAACAACCCGCCGTACAATACGAATAGTCAACCGCAGTCCAACACATTCATATTATACAAGGCGTCATGAATATCATTCACACACAAGTCATCCATAAACAACATAATAAGTAATTCATAAAGCAGCGGAAAACATTGTTTAAAACAAAAGGGCCACACAGGGCTATTCATGAGCACGCAGGCTCTATAATAAAATATCCATGAGCATGTTTATTAATGTTTAAAATCCGAATGGAGGAAGCACGAACCAAGTCTTCGCTCCTAGATGATCTCTCGAGCAACGAGCACAGGAAGCAAGCTCTAGCCTCAACCTGAAAAATGGTGGTGGGACGCCCCCGAAGGGGTCAGCACTCTATACGGCTATAAAGTGCTGGTGTGGCAGGCATCTAATAGATATACAACAAGTATTTCAAACACAAGACCCTCAAATAGGGTGATAGTACATTATGATTGTAACCCTAAGTTACCCCGTTTAAAAATATACTTACTTTATATAAAAGTCAAGTAGACGGCCCGTGGGCCCATGTTCATTTGGAAATCACCATTCCCAACCCCGTGACTATAAGCCACGACAACTCCTAGAGTCCAACCCTAGTACATGACATTGTATTCTAGAGCTCGGCTCTACCACATCACCATACAATTCATATACCTCGGGTCAATTTCCCTACCTTGCGTTCTAGAGCTCGGCTCTATCACATCACCACGCAAGTCCTAGAGCTCGGCTCTAGCTATACAATACATAGACTCCAAGTCTACACCTTACATGCATTCTAGAGCTCGGCTCTATCACATCACCATGCATTAAGGTCCAATTCTCAAGCAACCCTATGCCTAGAATTTACATATCATTAAACTACCATGGGTCATCCTTAAAGACTTCCCATAACTCAACCTTAGTTCCATACTAAGTATTATATACACTTGAACTATATTCAAGTACCTTTCATACAATCCAATCCCTAGGATCAATTTAATCAACAAGTCCCAATAATCACTAACTAGTATTTCAATACTATTAAGATTATTGTTATCATACCATTATCCTCATTATTTGTAATTCTCTACTTTTTTTTTTTTCATTAACCGAAATTTTATTAGAAAATAATCAAAACCAACACGAGAGGGGGACCAAACCAATACCTCTCAAAAGCAAAACAGAAACAATTAAAAAATAGCACTGTGGGGCTAGGCCTGACCCATTGCCATACACAATCAACAATATCTAAAAGAAGGAATACCAAAGAGATCTGAGTAATAAGCTTTACGGGCTGGGCATGGTAAATCAATAACTCGGGTGAATGTTTGGAAATGGGCCGAGGACATGTCAGCCATGAAATGGGCCACCCAGTTAGCCTCTCGTAGAACATGCCCAAACCGGATCCCTTTCCTAATTGTCTGAAGCCAGATTTCCTGAAATGCATTCTTCCATCTTCCAGCACCACCATCTGAGATGAAATGAACCGCAAGAGCTGCATCCAGTTCGACCTCAAAATGCGTATAACCAGCCTTCATCGCCCACTCGGTCGCATAAAGAGCAGCAGCCAATTCAGCCTCCAAGGGCGACGAGACCGAGAGAGGAAAAGAAATTGCAAAAATCAGTTCACCTGTATGATTTCTCATAATAGCTCCACCAGCAGCACCTTGAGGAATGTATTTAGCATCAGTGTTAAGTTTCAAACCTTGTGAAGGTTTTTTCCATCGGACAGCTTTGAAATACACCCCTTGGAGCCTATAGTTATTAGGAATCATCTTTTCTTCAAATAGCACCTTTCCGATAGAGTGAAGCTTCATATTACCCAGACTTAGCACCCAATTATGTGTGAAACTTTTGATATTAAAAATAATTTGTTCAGTAGAAGGTCTTCTTTCACCTGAACCCCAGATAAGAGAAGCATATACCTTCCAAATATGCCAACAAATAATACCAGGTAAGTTATGTTTGAAAATATCAACAAGTTTTTTACTCCCCGCTTTGATCCACCAATTCATGAACACATGCTTGATAGAATTTACTTGCCCTGGAATTGGAATTTGAAAAATTCCCATAAAATAGAGCCAGATTGGGTGAACAATCCTGCACTCAAAGAATAAATGATTTACAGAATCTTCGTGGAGTCTGCACATAGGACAAATAGAGGGGTTAATCACAGTCTGAAATCTGTTCAAATTATCAGTAATAGGCAAGATTCCTTTCAAAATCTTCCATTGAAGAATCTTAATATGCAAGGGCTGTTTCGGATGCCAGGCATGTTTGAAAGAAAAGGTGGCATATAGCTCATTCCTGATCATATTGTAAGCTGATTTAAGGGTGAAGGATCCATCAGCATTGTGTAACCACCTTATGTTACCATCAATACTCTCTTGACACATATCTGAGGCAATAGGATGAATAGAACAAATTCTTCTCCAAACCGGAGAGTCTGTAACTTTGGCAATCATATTAGAACCCCTAGGATATCTTGCTTTAAGAAAGTCAACCCATAAAGAACTATCTGTCTTCCACTTCCACCACAGTTTAATTGAAAAAGCTTTCTCTAGATCAAGTAAAGCTCTAATACCGAGTCCCCCTTCCTCAACAGGAAGACATAAGTGCTGCCATTTAATCCAATGGTATTTAGGCTTATTATTGGCTGTTCCCCAAAAGAAAGAAGCCATTTTCTTTTCTAATGTAGTAATAACTTTCTTGGGTAGATTGTCAGCAGCCAGGACATGTAAAGGAATAGCGCTTAACACATGTTTAATCAACACTAATCTTCCCCCTATAGATAAGTTTCTTTGCTTCCAAGGAGACAATTTCTTTTCAAAATGACCAATCAGATCAGTACAGTAATTAAATCTATTAATACCTTTATGTAGGTTAACACCAAGGTATTTGATAGGTAGATCAGCCTTCTGCATCCCAAGAATACTTTGGATGGTTCTCAATCTTGCTCTGGCAAATCTTCCACACAAAAAGGAGCTCTTAGAAAAGTTCACCAACTGACCAGAAGCTGCTTGGTAAGCATTAAGAAAATGCTTGAAATTCTGAAGTGACCTAACCTCACCATTAAGAAACACCAATAAGTCATCAGCAAAGCCCAGATGAGAAATAGGATACCCAACATTGCCCATCCAATAAGGTTTAATAAAACCAGAATCAACATTCCATTTTAACCCTCTAGAAAAAGCTTCAGAAGCCAGAATAAAGAGAAAGGGGGATAATGGGTCTCCCTGTTTAACCCCTCTAGTAGGCTGAAAGTAACCAAAAGAAACACCATTTACCAGAATAGATAAATAGGTAGCCTTGAGGTTATTCATGATAAGTTGGGTGAAAGAGGAGGAAAAACCAAACCTAGTCAAAATTTGGGCAAGAAAATCCCAAGAGAGTCTATCAAAGGCTTTAGCCATATCAAGTTTAACAACCACATTAGAACCTCTAATTTTCTTGTCAATAGAGTGTATCATCTCCTGAGCAATGAGTATTTGATCTGAAATATCTCTATGTTGCATGAAACCTGCTTGTTCACTAGATATAAGCTTAGGGAGAATTTTAATCAACCTGGCAGCTAAAACCTTAGTGCAGACCTTATTCACAAAGTTAGAAAGGCAAATAGGTCTGAAATCTGCAAAGGTATTAGGGCTATCAGTCTTTGGAATCAACACCACCAGACTGCTAGACATACCCATAGGAATGTGAACACCCATGAAAAATTCCTGAACAGCTTTGATCACATCAATGCCAACAATCTCCCAACATTTTTTAAAAAATTTTCCGTTAAAGCCATCAGGCCCGGGGGCCCCATTTTGATTAAGATCCCAAACAGCCTCTTTAACTTCATCCTCAGTAGGTAGTTGCATCAACATGATATTATCATCCACAGTGACCAAAGGAGGAATATGTTGCAGAATATTATCATCTTCTATTTGGCTTTCTCCTGCGTAGAGCTTAGAAAAGAAAGAGACTGCTGCAGTTCCAATGTCTGACAAGGTATCCATTTGAGTCCCATCCTCATTAAATATAGAGTTGATTTGCTGCTTTTTCTGTCTAACTTTCACAAAAGAATGGAAAAAATGAGAATTACTATCACCTTCTTTTAACCAGTGTATGTGAGCTTTTTGCTTCCAATATTTTCGCTCCAGCTTATATTTTTTCAAAAGCATAGCTTTCAAGTATGACCACTTTTCTTTATTGCTCTCACTGGGGTCCATATCGTAGGTCTGCTCAGCCTGTTGAACCAAACTTTCACAGTATTTTGTATCATCAAAAATGTTCCCAAACACCTCTTTATTCCATGTCCTCAAATTCTTCTTCAGACACTTCAGTTTGTAAATCAGGCCCCGCATACCACCACCAGACAGATTAGCAGACCAACTATTTCTGACAACGTCCAGAAAGCCAGGATGAGAAAACCACATATTCTGGAATTTAAAAGACTTTGGACCACTATTAGAGTTCTGAAAACACCTCAAGAGAATGGGGTTATGATCGGAAGGTGTTTTATCCAAAACTGAAATATGAAGTTTATCAAAGGATTCCAGCATATTATTATTCACTAAACATCTGTCTAACCTTCTTAACACTCTGCCATTTGATCTGTTACCAGACCAGGTGAAAAAAGAACCTTCATGTGGCAAGTCAATCAACCCACAAGCACCGATACAGTCAGAGAATTCCAACATGCTAGTGAGATTAGGTGAAGAATTACCCTTATGCTCACTATGAGCTGCTATGGCATTGAAATCCCCCCCCACAATCCAAGGATCCAAAACAGTAGCAGCAAAAGAAGAAAGAGCATCCCAAAGATTTCTTCTAATACTATAGGTATGGCCTCCATAAATAGCTGTAACCCAGCCTAAGAAAGTTCCCCGTTTTATTTTGAAATGAACAAGCTGAGGGTGCCAAATAAAGTCGCTGATAGAGATTTCATTTGGATTCCAAAAAATCCAGACCTTATTAATCTCAGAAAAAGACACCTGCTGAAAACCCAACTCAAACATAAAATGTGTAGCTCTAGCTCTGTCAACAAGTGGCTCAAAAATACATAGAATATGAATTTTCCAATAACTAACAAGTGAAGAAAGTCTGGAAGAAGCAGAGTGCAGACCTCTAGTATTCCAAAAAAGCATATTCATTGCAAGGGTTGGGTGGGAGCTTGTGACACAGAACCAGATGGTACTGTCAAATCTTTTTTCCTTGAAGCATATCTAGTAACCCTTGGTTGAAACTCAACATCCTCTTTCTTCTTGCTATTTTTATTGGTAGCCTTAAAAAGACTAGCTTCTGGTTCAATAATATGCTGTTCCAAGGTAGCAAACATATTAATATTTGTAATATCCTGGGCTTTGGCAGATAGAATGGAAGACTCCTTTTCTGCATTGTTCTTAACTATGATATTCACTTTGTCACAGATCTCAGGCCAAAGGTCCTTCCAGTTGTGAAGAGTTTGTCTGGGCTTGGTATTTTCACCTTCAGAATCATAGGCCTTGGCAGAAAGTTCAGGATCAAACTCCAACTTTTTTAAGAGGAGCTTGATACCAAAATCATCTTTACAAGAATTGACTAAGGTATGAGAAGCTAAACCCGGAATCTCAGTGTCAAGAAGGATTTGAATCTCTTCCGTTCTGGGATATTTCTTTGCAGGGACGGATGAGCTCTTCAATTTGTGAGCCAGGTTGCCATCCTGAGAATTCGTCCTAGGGATTGGATGAAGGGAACTTTGTTGGGAAACATCTCGGCCATTCGTGCAGGGGAGCTCTTCCAAAAAGATTCCCTCAAATTTATTGAGTTGTGAGCCCAAAACTGTTTGGTCTCTCTGAACAGGAGCTTCTGGGACCTGGGAGTTCATAATTGGGGCAAGGGGAGCTGCCAGAGATCCAATGGTAGCAGACTGACCATTATGTGCATCAATTTCTGGGTCCTGGGAGTTCAAGATTGGAGCATGTGGGACTTCCTGAGAACCTACAACAGAAGTACCAAGCTGGTTCTCCTTGTGGGGAGGCTCTTCCATAATGATCTCTTCAGTATCAGTATTTGATGTATTTGAGGTAGATGGGTCTGTAATAAACTCTGCCTGTATTATTCCTTTCCCTTTTTCCTGTGCTGAAAGGTTCTTACTTTGTTGGTCAGCCTTAGAATTTTCTTTACTGACCCATTTCTCCTTGAGAGCGAAAGGAACATTATGGTTGACTGGGTTCCTTTTAGGGCAAGCAGAATCCACATGCCCAAGGTGAAAACAGTGAGAGCAATAGTAGGGTCTATTCTCATAGAACACAGTTTGGGCAAAGCCAAAACTTCCACTATTAATCCAAATTTTTTGAGGCATCTCCTTAGTAAGATCAATTTCCACACAAATTCTAGCCATCGAAGGCTTAGTCAAATTGGAAGTAGCCGAGTCCAGTTTTAGGGGTTTGCCCAACAAGCCAGCAATATCAAAAAGCGCACGTTTATCCTGTAAGTGAACCGGCAATCCTTCGAAAACAACCCATACCGGAACAATCGGCGATTCCACATTAGGTCTAAAAGTAGAAGACCATTTAGTAACACGCATAGTTTTTCCTAGAATAGACCAGGATTGTCTATTCCAGCAACGAAAGTAATCATCTTCGTTATCAAAACGAATCAGAACATGCTTCCTTTCTAAAACCCCAAGATGGAAAGTCCCTTTAAATCCAATTCTCTCCAAAGTTTTACGTAGGGAATCCAATCTAGGTCTACCTTCATAAAAGTAACCCACCAAGGAAAATCTATGACGCTCAGAGAGAATCTGAACATCACTATCAGGAAAGCTTACAGTAGGCAGTCCCTTGAAGCGAGAATACGTTTTGACCGAAAGGGACGTAGAGGATTTGCCAGAAACGACATCAACAAAGGATTTAGTCCAAGCCGATGGGGTTATTGGTGGTGCTGAGGGCTTCGGTGAAACAGTAGGCGGCAGTGCCGCCGATTGAGAGGAAGGAGACGCCGTCATCTCTTCATTAGACCAGAGGTTGTTTGATCTTCATCATCCTTTGTAATTCTCTACATATTTATAATTATGTAGCAGCAACTTAAGTATTTAATCTCAATACACAAATATTCATTTATGTATCCACATAATTCATACATGAGTAAAATACCCATTTTCACAAAATGGTTCTTTTATACTCATTTAATCTCATATTATTCATACCTTCTCAAATCATTTCAAATTTCATTCTTTGGCAACTATATCAATATTTCATCAATATATAATCATCATAATCCATGAAAAATCATGATTTAAGCATTTAGGTAATCTCATGCTTAACCTACAAGTTGTAAGCAATTAGATGTCAATCCTCACCTCAATTGAGCTTTAAACTTTCCCCTCTTGGTCCAATGGTCAAAGCTTTGGTCAAGGTGGATTTGGAACTAATTCCTTGCTCAAATATGAGTGTTAAGCAGCCTCCTCAAGGTGCTAGTTCAACCCTTAATCGTTGATACGAAAACAGCCCCTAGAATGGGTGTTTTCCGGTTAACTCGTTTCCTAGTTTTCCAAGATTTGCTCTAGGTTAGTATCCAACCTTTACACACATAAAATAACTTTATAAGGACATATTATACACTTAAATTAGTGTATAATAGTCCCACCAATCGTTCATATCATTTGGAGAATGAAAAGTAAAGTTTTGGGGTTAAAACTCACTTTAGAAGATTAAATCCTCTCCTGCGAGGTTGTGTTTTGCTCGGACGGTTTGGACGCCTTCCACTACTCCGATTGAAGCAAACCAGGCCTTCACGGATTCCTCGTCTTGAGATCTTTCCTTTGGTATATTACACGCCTTATTTGGATGTGTATAACTCGAGATATGAAGCAAACAAGTAACCCTTGCACTGGAGGAAAACCTGCGGGCAGTTTGCTTTCTCCTTGGTCTTTTGGGTTGTGTGGCTCTCTTCTTCTCTCTTATCTAGGGGAGTTCGAATGGGAGCTGTGGGAGTGTTATCTTGGCCTTAACATATCCTCAAAAGTCAAAGGATAGGAGTGGGTTGGCATGTGGGATGATGGAGCAAGATACCTTCAATAAAAAAAAATGGGGAGAGGGTCCATTTGTCCTCAAACATGTCTTGTTCAGCCCCCCTCTCTTTTTGTCCGCCCCAACCATGGATTTTAACTCATTCTCTTTATTTTGCAGGTGCCAAGAAGGTGTGGGGTGCTCCCCAAGTGATCCCAATCAATTTGGGGTCCAAAACATCTACCAATACTTCCAAAAAATGGGAAGATGGGTCCTATTGTTTTATCCTTTGTCAAAAGATGTCTTTTTGTACTTATCCTAATTTATTTAGAACAAGTCAACTTCCTACATCACATTATTGATCTCCAATATGTGTAGGCTCATCTCAATAATTTACTTGATGGATATTATAGAAGGAAAAAGTCTTACTCCCATTACTTAGCTCAATAATGTCAAAGATGGGATTATAGGCATTTGTATTCTTCTCTAATCATCCTATCACTTATCTTGATAATGTTGGGCTCTTTTATTTACTAATAAGTCCCGAATAAGTATTTGCAAAACCCGGCACTAATGTACGAGTTTGAATCGTACGATATTCAAACATGCACTGCGTAAAACGTCAATTGTTTTAAATACATAGCCTTAAATCTTAAATTGCATTCTTCATTAAGGACGTTCGGGTGCGGTGTCACAAACTAGACCTAGAAGCTCAGCCATAGCCATCGTCGACGCAGATACGAAGTCCGCCGCCGAAGGTCTTCTTCTCTGCCGCCATCGCCGCTGAAGGTCTTCTTGTCTACCGCCGTCGCGAAGGACACCGCCGCTGCTGCCGGAGATAAACTTTTCTTCTCAGTAGATCTGCTTCTTCTTTGAATGTTCTGCTCCGTTTCTTCTTTTATTGTTACAAAATGCCAAATTAAATCTGAAAACGTCGCATAAATGGCATTTTTAGTCTTAAAAAATTTTGTATTTTCATTTGGAAATGCCATTAAGCTGGCATTCTGATAAAAATCTTGGCATTTACGCTGGAAACGGGTAGATTTGTAACTGAGGAGGTCAAATTTGTAGCAGCGGATGCCAGATTAGTTGCGAAAGTGGCATTCTCAGTATATCTGCTTCTTCTCTGAATGTTCTGCTCTGTTTCTTCTTTCATTGTTACAAAATGCCAAATTAAATCTGAAAATGCCGTATAAATGGCATTTTTAGTCTTCAAAAATTTTGTATTTTCATTTGGAAATGCCATTAAGATGGCATTCTGATAAAAATCTTGGCATTTACACTGGAAACGGGTAGATCTGTAACTAAGGAGGTCAGATTTGTAGCAGTGAATGCCAGATTAGTTGCGAAAGTGGCTGGATCTGAAGGGACGGTGGCTGACGGCCGATGGAGGCTCAATCCGGCGACGCCCTCCAGATCTGCAACGGCGGTGGGCTGATCTGCGACGGCGGCTCGTTTTTTAGGTTGTCGGCGACCGGCGGTGAATGGCGGCGACTGGCGGTGACCGACGAATGGCTGTGGTCCAGTGTTGCCGTCTGCGGGAGTATGACTTCTAAGCTTCAGGGGTGTTTTTGTCTGATTACAAATAATACTCCCTCCGTCCCACTTTAAGGTTCTCATACGATTTACGATGTTTGACTGACCATAAAGTTAACTGATCCCTGTCATTAATAGAATTATTTTTAGTAAATAAAATTTACATATTCAGAAACTACATTAAACCCACTACAAAACTTGCAAAAAATAATTTAAATTTCATAAACTTTAGATATAAAAAGTAAAAGATTAAGAACAATGCACGTCGACCGGAGAATAGTGTACGAGAACTTTTAAATGGGACGGAGGGAGTAACTCTTATTTAGGGAATTTTTAAACTTTGGTCCTAGTTTTGCACTTAAAAGTAGGGGTGGGCATAAAAACCGAACCGAACCGGTACCGAGCCGTCCCGTAATGGTACCGAACCGAATGCCGGGTATTTAAACGGTTCTATAGATTTTTGTCCCGTACCGAAACCGAACCGTTTGAAACGGGTACGGGACCGGTCCTAGATTTTGAGAACCGAAAAATACCGGACCAAACCGTTCGAAAATAATGCATTTGAATTTTTTATAATTTTTCTAAACCAATAGATCTCTTTTATAGATAAACAATTTTATAGCCCAAGTATGTATTCATGTGTTCCTAAACTAGCTAAATGTGTGTGTTTATATAATATATTGTTATTTTTATTTTTAGATAATTTATGTTATATTTTGATATGTATTGAAAGAATATTAACATTTTAGAAATCATTAAGGACTATTTATTTCTAGTAATGGTTTGCTAGTAATGTTTATGTACATGACTTTTTGTAGTATATATCATGTTTGCACAATTTTACAATTTAATTAATACTACGCATGATTTATATCTTAGCTCTCAAGTTTTAACTATAAATTAAATTAGAACTACAGAGAAATATTTAACCTAGCACGAAGAAGAAGAACATTGAAGATTTCAATTATATTCAACAATTTGATGATGTTCTTTTTCATATTTTCACATGAACTTAGTAAATAAATTAAAGATGATATTTATCTCGTGCGTCATCATTTTGCTATACTTTTTCTTTGTTGTGCTGTACTATTTGTGTATTTGTGAACTTTAGTACTACATATGCAATTTATTGTAGGAAAAATTGATAGTAATAATCCCAACTATTGGCGGTCCGCTCATAATAATCCCAACTATTGATTATTACAGAATAATCCCAACTTTAGGGACCTTCCGCCAATAATGGTCCCTATGAATAAATTCTTGTAGTTTCTAAATTGGATGAGATGAGATATAATAAGTAATCCTTATAACTAATCTCAACTTTTAATTTTTACGTTTAATTTCTATTTAAAATTCACTTTTTATAGAGGTAATATATGGTCATGGACCATTATTGGTGGATAGTCGATATAGTTGGGATTATACAAAAATAATAAATAGTTGAGATTATTTTCAGCGGACCGTCAATAGTTGAAATTATTATTTTCAATTTTTTCTTTATTGTACTTATATTGACATTTCATGTGAGTTGGTTGGTGTGAAGATATCTACCAATTACAAAATTTGTTCAAATTTTTTAGCATGTGTTTGGCATTGTACTGTACCGTTTTGTACCGTTCCGAAACTGCATGGTACCGAACGGTTCCATCCTTGAAACTGGACCGTACCGGACCGTTACAAATCTAACAGATACATTACGGGTTTTACTAGTTTACCGGATCGTTCCGGACCGCGTCCACCCTTACTTAAAAGACTGATTTAGGATGTTTTTACTTGGACTGTAATACCTCTTAGTAACATTTCTATTAGTAACACCGGCTAACGCTCAAAACACCAGACATTCCCAAAACAGTCGGGCAGCACTTCCTGAGGGATTATAGGTGATCGTTCTTTCCGGTGGACGCACAGTGTTACTGAATCTCCGGCTTATGCACGAATTTGTGGGGGTAAAAAATGCAGAACAATTACTTAAAGAGGACCGGATCAAAAACCGCAGTGGCAGCAATACTACGCAAGTCGTGGTATCACTTGAGGCTGTCGGTGCGCCACCCCGCTAGGGTCCCGACGTGGGACGCCATCGTTCTCACTGCCTCTAGCCCCGAACAAGCCCAGCTCTATGAGTGGCAGCTCAACCGGGCCAAGCGCATAGGTCGCATTTCCCCATCCACCGTTACTTTAGCCGTTCCCGATCCCCTAGGCTGTCGCATTGGCTCTGGCGCCGCAACTCTCCATGCCATTTTAGCCCTCGCCAATCATTACCGGCTGGTATTTTTTTCGTTATTATTTATGATCCAGTGATCTAGTTAAAGTTACTCTAATATTGGCCATGTTTGATTTGAGCAACTGTTTGAAACACTCAATCCTCTCCTCCGCAGTAGCCATTAGTTTCAAATCTATGCGTAATTAGATGTGAAATTTCCCGTAAGAATTGCATATTTCGGGATAGCCAGCTACACTCTGCCGTAAGAACAAAACTGTTAAACTGTTCTGAGCAACACACTGTATGATTGGATGATATGAATCATATGATGAAGAGAGAATAACTTATAGGGGAACTTATGGCTGTTGAAATTTGTGCACGGCCCTTAGGTCTCTCCCGAATATAAACTATTTATTTGGGAGTAGTTTATACACCAACTAAAGAAGGGAAACTAATAAAATAAAATCAATTTTTTCATGTATATTTTTCAGCTGTATCGACATGTTCCAAAAAACATTACCGGGTATATGTATAGCATTGAGTGCGCTATAAAAATGAACCTGGAGTTGGGACCTGTTATTCTTCTCGTCTATTCCACCTATTCGGACCAAACTTGCAACACATAATATTACTACATATTAATCCAATGCATATCAGGCAAGAACAAAACAAACTAGAGCCAAAAGCACCAGTTGAAGACAACAGGTCCTTGGTCTTAGTCAGTTACACTTGTATTAGGCTTAATTGATTACTTCAAGTGATTGAGCACTTTAAGGACATCAAATGTCAGCACATATAAACTGTTCTCTTGTCTATGTGGTGTAAATGTCATCCCCGCCGTTTATAATCCATCTCTAATTCTGGACTATCAATAAATTCATCGTGGATGACATTTACAGCACATCTGTCAATTCAGGAGTGACAATTGAGGGACCAAAAGTGTGATTTTCCCTTTATTAATTGTTTATATATATATATATTGTAGGATCTTACGATTCGAGTTACGATCCTACGATTTATGATCCTTAATTTGACTTCCGATTCTACGTAGAATCTCACGTTTAACTATCATGGCTGCCGCCACTTGCGCCCGTGCTGTTACCCCCATTCGGCCAAGAAAAACTACTCGAATGCGATCCCACATTATTGTAGGACTGGCTCCATGGTCCTCCATTTTGAAAGGACAAATTTTCCTCAATATCCCCGGCCAATTCCATCGCTGTCTCCAAACTATTCGGGCGCATCAATCGTAAAGAACCCCAAAGCGGCCCCTTTAGCCCATTCATAAATATCTCAATTAATGATCATCGGATAGCCCTGGAACCTGACTCGCCTATTGGACAAAAATCGAAATTTACTCCACCTTCTGTGTCTGCCTGATCCCAAACAGCCGTTCAAAATGACTGCCCTTAAACCGTGAGTCAAGTCGCGCCACCAATGCCTGTGTGAACTTCTCCCATGTCATGTCAGGCTTCCTTGCCTTTAACCAGGTCAACCAATACAAGACTGTCTCTTCCATCGCAACCACTACAGCTTCCACCTTCCTTCCCGGCGGAGTAAAGTTCAATTCGAACTGCTGCTCAGCCCTAGCAGTCCAGCTGATTGGATCATCTCTGTCAAATGAGGATAGCGGCATGACAGATGTGCCACACTGCCCTGGCTCAAAAGAGGACGCCGCTGTCTTGTCCTGTGAAGCAGCCTCCGATGTCGGCCCTTCAGTCGCCGGCGGCATGAACGCCTTCGAGAGTGCAGCCAAGGAGGCTTTGATCTCCTCCAATTGGGTGCTCTGTGCATCCAATTTCTGGTTCATCAAGGCGTGTTTGGCCTCCACCATCAAATGCTAGGTAGTTGATCTGGTAATTCCGGTGAGCACGAGATCCAGCAGGTCAGACCAGACCTGCCCCGGTTTCTGGTTTAACAGAAACTAGAATCGGCGCTTTCGGAACCGGAACCGGTAGGACTAGGCGTTTTAGAATCTTCGGTTATATTTCCGACCGTCAGACCAATTGATGAAAGCTGAAAACTTAAATCAAGGGAAGAAACCGTTGCCCAAAGTGACCTGGCTGAAATTCAATATTATTAAGTTGATAAATCAAAAGTAAAGCCTAATTAGGGATTTAAATACCCATCTAACAAGAGACCAAAAACAGAAATTCTAATCAAACCCAAAATAGAAAACATATCATAAAACTTATAAAAAATAAAACTAGAACCCCGGCCAATAGCCAGCCCACGAAGGTGGGCTTAAGCCCGTCCCCACCTTCGGTAAACCAACAGGGCCCTTGGCCTCTCTTCCCCCAAGCCAAGCTCTTGCTCCCTGTCATCTCTCTACCAAGCCCCATTTCTTTTCTCTCAAAATCACCTTGCTTCTCTCTGGCCGCCTTCAATGGTGCACAATCGTTCTGAACACTGGTGATTTTCTATGGACGTTGCCTCTCCATTGCTCTGTCATTGATGGTCTCCATGGTCGGATGGGAAAGGAAAAATCACGCGATCTTCTTCCTCATATTTTTCTTCTTCACTTCCTATTCCCCCATTCATCAAGCCATCTCTCTCATTGTCCATGAATATCTGTTTCTTTCCATCTCCATTGGTAGATTCCACGGTTGTAATACAACAACATCCAAGCCTTAGTCCCAAAAGATATTGGGGTTGGCTAACATGAATCGATACATGATATCACCATCAAAAGGAAAAGAAAGAAAATAAAGATAAAAAAAGATAAGCTATTATGAAAAGATAATATAAAAAAAGATGAATACACCTAAAAAAGATAAAATAAAAAGGATAAAAATAATGTTTATATATATAAGGATAAAAGGATTAAAAAAACAAAAAAAACAAAATTGAGGGGAAAAGATAATACGAGATCACTCCTCCACACGAATACCTGCCCTCCACTTTGCTCTCTCCAAAGCCATACCCTCATCTAACCCGAGAAGAAGCATATCACTTCGGACTCCCCTAACCCACGTCCGTTTGGGCCTTCCTCTCCCTCTCTTCCTTCCCTCTTCTCCACACATCTCAACTCGTCTGACAGGTGCATCAATCGGTCTTCTACGCACATGACCAAACCATCGTATGCGCGAGTCCCGCATCTTGTCTTCAATAGGTGCTACTCCCACCCTTTGTCTGATTGTTTCATTCCTCATGTGATCCTTCCTAGTATGCCCACACATCCAACACAGCATGTGCATCTCCGCCACACTCATCTTTTGACATTGTTTCACCGCCCAACACTCTACGCCATACAGTAATGCAGGCCTAATTGTTGTCCTATAAAACTTACCCTTCAGTCTAATGGGCATACCTCTATCGCATAGAAATCCTGACGCACTCTTCCACTTCATAGAAGGCATAATATTATAAATTGATTGTGCATGCTGGACATTGAAGGCGGTGATGAACACTATGCTGCCGATGAAGGGCATTTCCTGTCTACAATATATTGTAAGCGGCAGTGATGGGATGAATATTGATTTCAGGGGCTTAACTCTTAAGAGCAGTTACATGGGCAACGGAGATGACAGAGGTAGTGGTGACTGGTGATGATGGTGGACAGTTAGTGACGGCAATCTCCATTGAGTTAATGGCAATGTGCAGTGAGTTGTGCCGATGGGAAGTAGGTCGGCAACGGCGGGCAGTGACGCTAACAACTAAGGGTAATGTGAGTTGATGGGCAGTAGTTAATTTTAGGTCATTTACGGTGCTGAGAGGTATTTTGGCATCAAGCCTTGTGTTTATTCATTGTCATATGAAATTTATTAGTCAATATTTAGAGAAATTTACTACTCGTATGTTTTAGTTGAGTAAATTTTCCTGTTGTTTTCTTGAGCAGGAAGTAGAAGCAGACCACTTGAACCCTGAGTCATTGTCCCAATGCAAGTGGTCTGGGGGTGACAGTCATCCATTTTCTTTAGTTGACTTGATAACAAAGAAACATATCTTACTACTTCATGCTGGAGGTGACTCTAAAAGGGTCCCATGGGCTAATCCTATGGGCAAAGTGTTTATACCACTACCATATTTGGCTAAAGATAACAATGATGGCCCAGTTCCCTCACTCTTTGATCACATACTTGCAATTTCTTCCTGTGCTAGACAAGCTTTCCAAAATGAAGGTTATTTACCTCCCACTATTGCCTGCCATTGATTGCTTTGTTTCTGCATTAGGAAAAGTTAAAGTCAAGCCATGTTATGCCAAACAAAATATAAAAATTTAAATCAACTTATTCCATCTTTCCCTAATATACCCTCCATTTGACCGACCACATAAATTTAGAAAATGTAAAATGTGTGGTTGGTATTTACATCGAGGTGAGATGAATAATACTCCCTCCGTCCCTTAATACTTTGTCAAGTTTGATTGGCATGGGGATTAATAAAGTAAAAACTGTGTGGTTGAGGTTTGTGCAGAGGAGAGAGAATTAACTGGAACCACAAATTCTTTACTTAAAAGAGAAAGTGGCAAAGTTAGTGGGACATCCAAAAAAGGAAAGTTGACAAAGTTATGAGGGACGGAGGGAGTATATGCCCACCATAATGTTTTTTTAAAGAAGAAATAAAGGATTTTTTGGGAATGGCTCAAAAATAAAAAATTGTCAACTATTTAGGGACAGAGATAGCATAAGATCATCACATACTCATTTTGTAAGGTTGATTTTTAGTATGAAGCCTCTGGTCTTAAATGGTAACCAAAGCATAATAAAACCTAAACAAGCAATTTGGTAATGGTCAACCTAAAAATCAACCACACAGACTCAAGGATTAGTTATAAAATACTAGCTTCGTCCCACTAAGATTGACACGATAGCAAGTGACAAGATTATTAAAAAAAGTAGTTTTTTTAGGGTAAAAAGTAGAACTATATGGTTGGTATGGATTTTTTAAAGTATGGATAAAGTAAGAATGAATTGGAACCAAACAAATATTACCAAATATGTTATGAGCCAAACTTAGTGGGATAGTTGAAAAAAGAAAGATGGGACAAAGATAGTGGGATGGGTGGAGTACAAACTAGTTCCCTACTTCTCTTTCAAAGTTGGCTTCTTATGATGGGATATCAAGTCTTATTATGGTTTCTGAGCATATTAAAGCTCATACGGATGACTATAATGCAGGGTACGTTCAGTCATTCCACAGTGACCGTATACTAAGTACACACTAACACATAACACCATACAATACTTTCTTAGTGGTATACTTAAATCATGCAGGATAGTTGACATGTGAATCATAAAAATATAAAATCATCGATGTTCAAGTGCTGAGCAGATTTCATATCTGCAGGTGGTATACTTATAATGACTGGGGATGTTCTTCCTTGTTTTGATGCATCCAATCTGGTTCTGCCCGAGGATGCATCTTGCGTTGTCACAGTTCCTATCACTGTAGATATTGCTTCCAACCACGGTGTTATTGTAGCATCACAATCTAGGATTCTTGATGAGAAATTTTCTGTTGACCTAGTGGAGAATTTGCTTCAGAAACCCTGTGTAGAAGAGCTGATCAAACATCAGGCTATTCTTGAAGATGGAAGGACACTGCTTGACACAGGAATAATTGCAGTCAGAGGGAAAGCGTGGGTGGATCTTTCAACCCTTGCCTGTTCCTGTGAACCAATGATTTCAGAACTTATGGAAAGTAAAAAAGAGGCAAGTCACCAAATTTTAGTCATGAGAAAGTTTTTTTTTTAGGATTTCTATGTATGTATTTGTGTACTTCTCTTTATAAGTTGGTAAAGATCATATAATTGATCAGTGCTATGACTTCAACATTGTAATTATGTCTGTTTATGTTCCGCATTATTATTTTATTGTACATGTGAAACCTTTTATTTCTGAATCTTGTATATGGATTCACTATTTTTGGGGGGAAAGAACTGTGGATGTTTTTACTTGAACTGTAATTTGCTGGTCTGGTCTGGCTTCTTTGTATTTTTATAACTATCCAAGTCTGGTCTGTTCTGGTTTGGTCTGGTCTAGGACAAATTACAGTCCAAGTAAAAACATCCTGAGTACCATATCGAATTGTCGCAGAGAAGAAAAAATCCATCTTAGGTCGGTGGAGATGGAATCCGTACAGAGTCAACCAGCTCCTCCCCCATCGACAGAAGAACAAGATCATCTCAATCGCTCCGCTAAGAAAATTAAGCATGGCGTATCAGTCGGATCGGGTAAGAGGTCTTTTGCAGACACGGTGGCAGCACACTTGGGCGTACAGGAGCAAGCTAATTCAGATTGGTGTATGGAGGTGGAAGATGATTTATCTGATGATGAAGACTTTATCCCTGATGACAATAATATCCCGAGGGTTATTATATCCGAGGAAAGGAAAAAGGAAATTAGACAACAATGGAGGAAGGCTTTAATTATCAAAACCATGGGCAAAATCCCGTTCCCAGTTCTGCAGTCCGGACTACTGAGGGTGTGGAATCCTCATGGCAGATTGGAGTTCATTGATCTAGGTTATGGATACTATTCTATCAAAGTGGATCTACAGAGGGATTACTTTCATATTCTAATGGAAGGTCCTTGGAAGATTTTTGACCAGTACATCATTGTGAATCGCTGGGTACCAAATTTTCAACCATCTCTCGCCAAGCCGGAAAAAATGGCAGTGTGGGTTAGATTACCTGGACTTCCAACTGAGTATTTTGTAGAAGATATTATAAAAACAATCCTTGAAAAAGTAGGAACTCCACTTAAACTCGACCGAACAACAATATTAGTTTTCTGAGGAAGATTTGCTAGAGCAGCCGTAGAGGTGGATTTATTGAAACCACTGGTGCCTCATGTTTGGGTTGGGAAAAGGAAACAAGCTGTTGAATATGAAGGACTCCATATCATATGCTTTGGCTGTGGAGAATATGGGCATAGGAAGGAAACTTGTTATCACAAACCTCAATCTCCGCTAGCTGGGGTCAAAGAGGTTCATGTGGAAAAAGGGACTAACTCAGTCAGTAAATCAACACTTGATAAACCAGGAAGTAACTTTGGGCCACACATGCTAGCCAAACATTATTCTTGGAAAGGAAATAGTGAAGACAAGGGGGTTAAAAAAGAGAAGGAAAACCTTGTTAGGCATCTGCCTAATCAGTAGTTTTAAATAAGGGGGTTAGAGGAGTTAAATAGCTTATTATGTGTCTATAGCTTATTAAGTTGTCTATTTAGTCCCTGCGTGGACTTTAGCTATAAATAGAAGGGGAAATAGCTATTGTAGGCAGACTAATATTTTGAGAACTGTTGCCTTGTTGCCTAAGAGTCCCAGTTGCCTACGGATTACCTATTGCCTCAATAAACATCATCTCCCCTAAATTCTTATCAGATCTGTGTGTTCCTTTACTGCTTTAGCTTTGATTTGTGCCAGTGCCTAACATTGATATCAGAGCAATTAACTCCTGGGGATCGGAATTGAAGTGCGACTACTGCAGAGCACTTGTTCTGGTGATCGGAAACTGTGTAGCATCGCTAGAAATTTGTTCCGTTTGAGTTGTGGAAGGTCTGGACGAGAGCCAAAGATGAACGAACAGACTAGAAGACGATTGTGGTTGCCAACAACCACTTTTAGTTCGCAATCTGTATCGCGATCTATTTCTCACGTTTCATCATCGCAAGTCGTCCCTAACAGTAATCCACAGAAGTACTCGCAATCGCAGAGATCGACGCTCACATATCATTCCAGTTCACAATCGCGAACTTCATCTTCCCGTTCGCAGACTTCGTCTCTGGCTTCGCACAGTTCGCCGTCACCAACAGCGTCATCTCCCAATTCATTGCGAACTGTTTCTACTCGCAGATCTTCATCTCCCTTGCAATCAGCTTCACAACGAGCCAACTCTCCAAATCAACGAACAAAGGATTCTGAGCGTCTAGCTGTGTCGGAAGGTAATTATCATCACTCTCGCTCTAGTATGGGTTGGGATAGCAGTATAAGAGATATTCGTACAGGAAGTAAGGTTGAATTGCCGTGGTTTAATGGAGATAAAGTAGACAAATGGATAGTTAAGATGGAAGAATACTTCCGACTCAAAGCTACTGCGGAGGAAAGGAAAGTTGAAATAGGTTGAAATAGCAGAAGGAGCTATGGAGGCAGAGGCGTTTGACTGGTTTCTATGGTGGCAATTTGAGACGAGGGAAGATAGTTGGAAGGCTCTAAAGGAATCCATAACTAGGCATTTCCAGCCTAGAGAACCAGTATACGCGATCACCTAGAATTTCTCTCAATTCACAGGTTTCTTCTCATTCTCAAGCCGCAGCCCACTGTGTGCTAGCTCCAGCGCCAGCGGATTCTCACACTTCTCAAGCGTCACCGCTCTGTTTGGAGTCTGTTAACCTGCTGCAGCCTTCCTGTGATGATAGCCTGATAGGAGTGCTTCGCGACTCAGAGAAAATGCAGAGAAGTTCAATGAGGGCATCGATGAAAGCCAGGAGAAATCGCCAGCTGATTCTCTCACTTGGCAAGCTTCCCAGCTCACTTTGGAATTCATTAATCAGCAACCTCCTTTCTCTGAAGATAAGCTCATGGATGAGGATGAAGGACAAGAGGAGAAATTTTATGGGGTGACTCAAGATTAGTACCATTGAATATGAATCGGCTGATGATCCAGATACTACTGCCACAGTACAAGTAGATGAGCATCAAGCTACCTCAAATACTGTTGCTATTAATGCAATTAATAGCGAAGAGAGAGATGCAGTATTCCATAAAGTCATAGAGAACGGAATATCATCACACAATCTACCTGATGCCACCACAATGCAACAGTCAGTAAATGATACTGCCATATCTCAGAAAGAGGAACCATTAGGGAACATTGTGAGAACCATTTCTCTAGATTTTGGTGCCTGGACTGCCTGTAAAGAGGAAATTGAGATAATAGATGAGGAAAACATTCTGAAGAAATATGCTGATCACGAGGCATGTATTGGTTCTGGGGATAACGTTGTGGAGGTTCTGGGAATTCCAAATCAACAGTTAGATCGCTACTTTGAAGATTTCAAAGTGTTGGTTGACAGGAGGCCACTATCACAATGGCAAACTGATGAAGAAAAGGAGAAAAGGAATCTGCTGCTGTTTATGCTAGCTCAGGAACTGCCCTTGATGCCAGAATGGTTGCTGAAAATGCTAGGGGAATAACACCAGTTTATATTCTTTTGCTAAATGGAGGTGTAGATTTTGATAATATGGTTCACACACTTACTAATATGAGAGGGATGGAGAATTATGTTGTTAAGGTTGACAGACGGGATCAAGCTATTGTGGTTGAAGGTGTTGTATTAGTTCGGGGTGCTTTAGCAAGGCAATTGGGGAAGAATGACTTACACAGGAGTGCAATTGAAGGATCAGTCTTCATTTACTCAAATGGCAAGTCTGGGACAACAGTCTTCATTTACTCAGGCTTCGGGGCTGATTGTGAACAAGGAAAAGTCTATGATCTCTTTCTCTCCGAATATTGAAAGTGGGAAGCCCAGAGAAATCTAGGAGCACCTATTATGCATGGAAGAAAATCCAAAAATAGATACTCCTTTATTCTGGATAGGGTGAAAAGAAATTATCCGTTTGGAAAGGAAAAACTCTTAGTTTTGCAGGAAGAAAAACGTTGATTCAAGCGTTGACGACATCAATACCACATGTAATGCAAAGTGTACTCCTTCCTGTCAGTGTTTGCCATAACATTGATAGATTGAATAGGAATTTTCTATGGGGTAATAGTGAAGGAGCACAAAAACTTCACCTTATCAATTGGGATGAGGTTTATCAGCCTAAATCATTGGGGGGGCTCGCTAAATATATGAAAGGCAAAGAAGAGTAACAAGGCCTTGCTAGCAAAGTTGGGGTGGGAAATTATTATGGATGCGCCAAAATTGTGGGTTAAAGTCATGAAAGCTAAATATATGAGGACTGGATCCTTTTGGGACGCTGAAAGAAAAACATGTTCCTCTCAGGTATGGCGGGATATAATTCGTTGTAAGAATACCTTACATAATGGCTTGGGGTGGCAGGTTGGAACAGGGAGGGATATCTCATTTTGGTTTGATAATTGGCCGGGTGAAACAACATTGCATGAGGAACTTGGTTCCCCCCTCCCTGCTACATCACAATTAGTCATGGTTGAAGACTTCATTAATAATGAACGGGGCTGGAATGTTGCAAATCTAGAAGAGCTACTTCCGGAGGAAGTTGCGGACAAAGTGAGAGCAGTCCCAATTCTAGTGGAGGAAGGTTTCCGAGATAGCCTCTACTGGAGACTATCAAAAAATGGTCCATTCACAGTGAAATCAGCCTATGAAGTTGGATTTTTAAAGCAAGATAATATAGACTTTGGGTGGCTGTGGAAAATCAGTCATCATCATCATCATCATTACCTCAGTGCCGCAAAGGCTCCCACCTACGGTGGGGTAAGGGGGGTCGGATGTACGTAGTCTTACCCCTGTACTAAAGCACAAAGAGACTGTTTCCGGATGACCCATAGTGAATATCACGTCCAAAATTGCATGGACTGACTGCAGCTTCATAACAAAGAAATGCAGACAACTTAGTGAGCCATTTTGCTTTATTCCATCATATTTTCAAGCCAAAAAATAGTGAGTCTTTGGCTCCATTGCAAATGATGGAAAAGTTGTGGAAAATCAGTGCGGTGGAAAAAATTCGATGCTTCTTGTGGATCATCATCAAGAATAAAATTCTAACAAACTCGGAAAGAGCTAAATGTCACCTTACGGAGAATAGTCTCTGCTCCATATGTAACCGCGGGGAAGAAACCGCCCTTCACCTGTTTCGGGATTGTTCCTTTGCTATCGAGCGCTGGAGACGTTCTTCATGTCAGAACTTCTTTGGAGTGGGTTAGAAAGCATTGCCATGGTGCGACAGTTACTAGAGGCCGATCTCCGCACGTTTCTAGATTTGCATACATTGTCTGGTATATTTGGAAGGCGCGCAACTCACTAGTCTTTCAAGAAGTTCTACCGGACGTGAATCGGGTGGTGGAAACAACCTTATTTAAAGCTGAAGAGTATACTAGCATGAACATGATTGATGGAATTAAACAACGGAGGGTAGTTAGGATTATCAAATGGCAACCACCAGAGGGAGGAGCCTTCAAACTCAACTGTGATGGATCATGTCGAGGGAGTGAAAGGGATGTCCGGGCAGGCGGTGTTATTCACAATCATAAAGGTGATTGGATTTGTGGGTTCTTTTTAAATATTGGGAAAACAGATAGCTTTCAAGCGGAACTTTGGGGATTACGGCAAGGTCTTATGTGGAGGGCGATTCAGAAAGCATGATTAAAGTGGTCAGAAGTGCGCAAATGTCTCACAAAACTGCTACTGAGGTGCTCATCCATGATTGTAGGAGATAACTTCAGGATGACTGTTTCATTCTTTTTCAACATACCCTGCGGGAGGGCAATAAATGGGCAAACATGTTAGCAAATGCAGCGCATGAGGTCACAAAGGCCTGTCTATTTTGGAAATAGCACCAGAATGGATCAAACAAACTTTGTGGGAAGACGCAAACGTCCTAGAAGAAATTAGATTCTGATTTTAGTTTTGTTTTCCTTCCGTTGTATAAAAAAATATCAAACTATCGCAGAATTAAGGAGATCCATCATACCGTCTCTAATTTAGTTTGTGGTTATATTAGCTATTTGATTGCATTCAATTTTGGGGGTGTTTGGATCTGATTCTTAAAACTGCTTCTGCTCCTTCAGGGAGCAGAAGCAGAAGCTGGAGTGTTTGGATGAAAGTGCAGAAGTGATTCTGGTACTCAAATTTACTCCTAGAATCAGTTTTTTTAGAAGCTGGTCACCCCCAGCTTCTGAAAACTGATTCTGATTCTGCTTCTGCTTTAAAAAAAGAAGCAGAAGCATAATCAGTTCTAAACACCCCCTTTGTTGTGTTGTTGGACTCATATGCGCTATGATTCAGTTGAGTGACCTCAACCTAACTTTAAATTCTATTAGTACTTTCATGGAAATATTATTTTCTGCTCTATATCTTGTGCAGATGAGCTTGTATGAAGACCTTGTAGCAGCTTGGGTACCCGCAAAGCATGATTGGTTACGACTACGTGTTTTGGGTAGTGAACTTGTTGACAAATTGGGGAAGCACAAGGTGTTCAGCTACTGTGCTTGTACGTTCAATGTAGTTTGAGTATGTATATCTTTGTAGTTTTATATTTTATTTTCCATATTTTCTTTAGAAAATTTCCATTCTTGCCCGCTAATGTGAGTTTATTGAAGAAAGCAAAATGGATCGAAAAGATGTTTATTGAAGAAAGAGAAAGTCTCCAGGGATAATACAAGCCACAGGACTATTCTAGGGCCCAACCTCCAAGTCACGATAACCCTAAAAATTAGCCTCCTTATTTAGAAACCCCCCTTTTCTATTTATAGTCTGTCCCCCACCACTAATTTAGTTAATAGTACTTTTCTCATTTCTCCTTTTATACACTTTATTGAAATATTGCGTAGGTTGCCTATCAATACTCCCCCCCTGAAAATTCACCTTGTCCCCAAGGTGAAATTCAGGGAACTGTTCTTTCATTGTCTGCACTGATTCCCAAGAATCCTCAAAGTGTGGTAGATTCTTCCAGTGTATCAAAACTTCCCTCTCTCCTCCCTTGTTAATCCTTGAGTCAAGCACTTCTTCTGGTGAGACTTGCAGTTCCCACTCTTCATTGAGGCAACTGGGTAAGGGTTGGCAAACGGTTGTAGGTGCAACAGCCTTCTTCAATAAGGAAATGTGGAACACTGGATGCACCATGCTTTCTTCTGGCAGCTTGAGCTTATAGGCTACAGAACCAATCTTTTGGAGTACTTCAAAAGGGCCATAGTATCTAGGATTGAGCTTCTGATTGATTCTTTTGGCTAGGCTTCTGAGCTTGTATGGCTGAATCTTCAAATAAACTTTATCTCCTACTTCCAAAGACACCTCCCTCCTGTGTTTATTAGCTTGCTGTTTCATTTGATTCTGAGCTATCTCCAAATTACTCTTCAATTCCTGGAGCATTACATTCCTCTGAGCAGTTAACTGGGAAACTTCTTCTACAGCTGTCAAGTGGACATCCCCTCTACTAACAACTGGAGGGTCCTGACCATATAAAGCTTTAAAAGGAGTCATTTTCAACGAGGCGTGATAGTTTGTATTGTACCAGAACTCAGCCCAACCCAACCATGTAACCCACTGCTTGGGTTTCCTCCCAGTAATGCACCTAAGATATGTCTCAATACACCTGTTGACCACCTCAGTCTGTCCATCAGTCTGAGGATGGTAGGCCGTGCTGAATTTAAGTTGTGTGCCAGCCAACTTGAACATTTCAGACCAAAATTTGCTCAGAAAGATGCTATCTCTATCACTCACTATGGTTTTAGGGAAACCATGCAATTTCACCACTTCTTTAGTGAACAAATCAGCTACTTCCTTGGCAGTAAAAGGATGAGATAGGGCTAGGAAATGAGCTGATTTGGTCAGTCTGTCCACCACAACCAATATAGTATCCTTCCCCTGTGATTTAGGTAATCTCCGATAAAGTCCATGCTGATGTCAGACCAAATGCTCTTCGGAATAGGCAGGGGTTGTAACAATCCGGCTGGTTTCAAGGCTTGGTATTTGTTGGTTTGACATACAGTACATTCATCCACATATTTCTTGATATCACTCCTCATCCCTTGCCAATAAAACAAGTTAGAAATTCGTTTCATGGTTCTGAAATGTCCCGAATGGCCCCCCAAAGCAGAATCATGATATTCTTGCAGAATTTTGTTCACTCTGGGAGATGTACTGGGTAACACTAGCTTCCCTTTGTAATATAATAATCCTTTGTTGATCTGAAACCCTTGGTGTTGATCAGGCTGTGAGATAACCTTCTGAATTATTGATTGACATTTAGGATCAGCCATAAGCTCTTCTTCTAATCCCTCCCACTCCTGGCAAGTAACAATGGAGAGGGATCTCAGGCCAGGCCTTCTAGAAAGGGAATCTGCAGCTGTGTTTTCTCTTCCAGGCTTGTACTTGATTGTGAAGTTATACCCCAATAACTTTGAAGTCCATTTTTGCTGTTCTTCCCCCATCAACCTTTGCTCAGTCAAAAACCTCAAACTTTTCTGATCTGTGTGAATCTCAAATTCTCTCCCAAGCAAGTAGGGTCTCCATTTCTGAACCGCTAGAACAATGGCCAGTAGCTCCCTCTCATAAACAGATCTATTCTGATTTCTCTTGGAGAGTTCTTTGCTCATGTAAGCAATGGGTTTTCCTTCCTGCATCAAGACAGCCCCTAGACCCGTACCTGAAGCATCAGTCTCTACTATGAACCTTTTACTGAAATCAGGAGTAGCTAAGACAGGTAGGGTGGTCATTCTCCTCTTTAACTCCTCAAAAGCTTGAGTAGCAGAAGGCCCCCACTGAAAACTATCCTTCTTGAGAAGCTGTGTTAATGGTGATGCAATGTGGCTATACCCTTTTACGAATCTTCTATAGTAGCCTGTGATTCCCAGGAACCCTCTAAGACCCTTCAAGTCCTTGGGTATTGGCCAACTAACCATGGCCTCGATCTTAGTAGGGTCAGCAGCTACCCCATTTTCTGATATTATGTGGCCCAGATACCCCAGTTGAAACTGTCCGAAAGAACATTTCTTTGGATTTATGACCAATTGATTATCCTTTAGTGCCTGCAGGACTTTTCTCACATGTTCTTGATGTTCCATTTCAGATTTGCTGTACACCAGGATGTCGTCAAAGAAAACCAGTGTGAACTTCCTGAGAAATGGTCTTAATACTTGGTTCATCAATGCTTGAAATGTAGATGGAGCATTTGTGAGACCAAAGGGCATTACCAGGTATTTGTAATGCCCTTCATGTGTCCGGAACGCTGTTTTCTGCCTATCTTCTTCTCTCATTCTTACTTGATGATAACCAGACTTCAGGTCAAGTTTAGAAAAGATAACTGCCCCTCCTAACTCATCCAATAGCTCTTCTATGATGGGTATAGGGAATTTATCAGGTACTGTGATCCTGTTTAAGGCCCGATAGTCACCACAGAAGCGCCATCCTCCATCTTTCTTCCTTGCTAGCAGTATAGGGCTACTGTAGGGGCTGTTACTGGGCTGGATTATTCCCTCACTCAACATTTCCTTAATTATTCTCTCAATCTCAGTTTTCTGGTACTGAGGGTATCGATAGGGTCTAATATTTGGTATACTTGCTCCTTCCTTAATGTGGATAGCATGATCACAGGCTCTTTTTGGAGGTAATTTCTTCATTGGCTTTGAAACTTCTGGAAATTCCTGCAGAATTTTCTCCCAGATAACTTCATCCTCTTTTTCCTTTGTCTGTTCCCTAGTCTGCCCTTCACAATACACTAAGAACCCATCCCCTGCATCTTGTATGATACTTGCCAAGGTTTTCAAAGAAACTTCAAAAGAATTGAGTTGTGGATCTCCTTGAATTTTCTGTATTTTCCCATCCTCCTTCCATTTAATTATTTGCTTCTGAAAGTTGACTTCAACATCACCGAGGCTCGCCAACCATTCCATTCCAAGGACCATATCAGTCCCCCCCAGTTCCAGGATGTAAAAATCCTGCTGAATTTCAGTATCTTGTAAGCACAATCTGATTTTCTCACATCTGCCATTATTCATCAATTTATCCCCGTTGCCAATTTGCACTTTGTAGCTGGTAATGGTTTTGTATGGTATTTTAAGTAGATCCACCACCCTCTGAGCTATGAAGTTATGTGTAGCTCCACTATCTATTAACACCTCCACTGTTGCTTCTTCCTGGAGCCCGGGGATGCTGCCTCTAACTTTGAAGGCCCTCATGGAGGGGATGCCCTCTCTACTCATCAATGATAGTTGCAGTGATTTGGATTCCATGATGATCTCTTCCTCAGGTATTTCTTCTTCTTCTGTATATTCAGGATCCCCTTCTTCTTCTGACTCTTCCACCAGTATCATTTTATAGTTCTTCATTTTGCAGGTATGATCTCTACTCCACCTTTCCCCGCATTTAAAGCAAAGCCCCTTCCTACTTCGCTCTTGGTATTCATCTTGTGATAACTGAGGTGCTACCTTTTTTATACTTGAAGTCTGAATGTCAGTCATCTTCTTCCCTCCAGCCATAAACCCTGCCGGATTGGTTCTGTTCTGATTTGTACCTCCTGAACTGCCAGCTCTTGTTCTGAAACCTTCTCCCCACCTGGGAGGTTTAGCATAAACTGACTCTTTATCCCTTCCACCCAGTCTCTCATCTTCCTGTCTCTTGACATACACTGCTTCATTCCTCTTCTCAACCAGTAAAGCCATATCCATCACCTCAGCTAGTGACCTGGATTGATGCAGTTTCAATTCGGCTTTGACTTCTGGCTTTAATCCAGCGAGAAATACCCCCCTTAGTATTTCTCGGTCAACATTCTTCTGCGGAGCAATGATCATCTCAAATTCATCCCTGTATGCTTCGACTGTTCCAGTCTGCTTCAAGCTCAACATCGGTCCGTATGGATTCTGTAACAGGTCAGGTTGGAATCTACGAATAATAGATTCCTTAAGTGATTCCCAGTTCTTCTCCTCGGTCTGAAGTTCCCACCACTGGAACCAATTCAGAGCCCTGTCTTCCATAGCCACTATCGAGACTTCCAACTTATCCTCCTCAGCAATATAATTCAGTCTAAAGTACCTCTCCATCCTTACTAGCCAATTATAAGCCCCATCACCATTGAACAATGGTAAATCCACCTTACGACCCATATGAACTGGGAATCTATTATACTCATCAGGTCGTGTGTGACTAGCAGGGTGTGAATGAGCAGAATTACCTCTTGATACCGCCGGACTGGGCGATGGACGCGAGCGATGACTGTGGTGAGATCGCGATCTCCCTCGGTGATGGTGGTCCTCGCTCATCGTGTCGATCCTTCCTGACATGTTCTGCATCATAGTTTCCATCCGCAACAGTGCTTCCTCCATGGTAGTTCGACCGCGTTCAACTGCTTCCAGACGTTGCTCCATTTTTCCCCTCGTTCGAACCATTCACGATCGAACGATGAAATTGGGCAAATACGGTGATGTCGCTACTGCCAACGATCACCGCCCCACTGCTCTGATACCAATGATATGGTTCTGGGAACAATTCAGAGTAAAGTAGCACAGATTCAAGCAGAAAAGTAAGCAAAATGGATCGAAAAGATGTTTATTGAAGAAAGAGAAAGTCTCCAGGGATAATACAAGCCACAGGACTATTCTAGGGCCCAACCTCCAAGTCACGATAACCCTAAAAATTAGCCTCCTTATTTAGAAACCCCCCTTTTCTATTTATAGTCTGTCCCCCACCACTAATTTAGTTAATAGTACTTTTCTCATTTCTCCTTTTATACACTTTATTGAAATATTGCGTAGGTTGCCTATCACTTTTGTCCTCATATTTGATTTTTTTTTCATTATTGGCGCACAGCTATTCATTTTTTGCTACTTCCGGTCTTCTGGACTGTAGAAAACTGACCACAAATTGTACAAAAATTGGTCATGGGGTGTCTGTGATCCTATAAAAAGGTGGCAATCCAGAGTGAGGTGTCTAGCCTTGAGGAGCATTGACGAGGGTCACACATATAAAACAAAAAACCAACATATAAGACATTAGGTTTTTCCTCCTATAAGGTGTACATTTTAGAATGAAAATTTTAATTTTAATAGGTTTTGAGATTTTCTTTGTCATTATCAAATTAATGTAATTTTAACTACAATTGTGTGAGGGGGTGTATGATTCTATGAAAAAGTGACAATCTAGAGTGAGCTGTCGAGCTGTGAGGGGGTGTTAAGAGTGTTCCACATATAGAACAAAAAAACCAACATATGAGACAGTAAATTTTTTCTTCTATAAGGTGTACATTTTAAAAAGGGTGCCTTGACACATCAGTTAAGGTGTTGTTGTGTGACCTAGAGGTCACACGTTCAAGTTTTGGGAGTGGCCTCTTGTCAAAATGACAAGAGTAGGCTTGCCCCCTATACACTCTTGTGGCAGGACCTTCCATGGACCCTCGCTTAACAGGGACGCCAGTGTGCACCAGGCTGCCCTACAAGGTGTAAACTGTACATTTTAGATTAAAAATTAAGGTGTCATAGGTTTTGCAATTTTCTTTGTTATTGTCAAATTAATGTGATTATAACTACAATTGCTTGAGGTCCATGTAAATATGTCTGTGAGTGTGTTTCCTTATCAAACATTTACACTGCTCTTCTACAGTTCTATCCATCTACACTTTTTATGCAGATGATCTCTTTTTTTTGCACTTTGGCACCTCAAGTGAAGTTTTGGAGCATATGACCGAAACCTGTTCGGAACTGGTTGGTCGAAGGCATCTTTGTTCCATTCCAGCAACCACTGCATCTGACATTGCATCCTCGGCTATCATTCTGTCAAGTAAAATAGAACCAGGAGTCTCAATCGGAGAGGACTCTCTCATATACAATTCCTCCATCTCAGGTGCTATACGGATTGGCTCTCAATCCATAGTTGTGGGTCTTAATGTGCAAATGTCTGGAAACAGAACCTCACAAGAACAGTTCACCTTTATGCTTCCAGACCGTCATTGCCTCTGGGAAGTTCCTCTTGTAGTAAACAAAGAAAGGGTAATTGTGTACTGTGGGCTCCATGATAACCCTAAGATTCTGTTGTCCAAGGATGGAACCTTCTGTGGGAAACCATGGAGGAAGATTTTAGATGACTCAGGAATTCAAGAGACTGATCTGTGGAGCTCAGATGAAAAATGCCTGTGGAGCGCTAAATTGTTTCCTGTTATTCCGTACTTTGATATGCTCCGTTTGGCAAAATGGATAATGGGATTGGGAAATCTCAAGAGTGAAGCTGCTTTTTATTATTCCTTGTGGAAAAAGTCACATCGATTGAGTTTAGAAGAGTTGCATAGATCAATAGATTTTCTACATATGTGTTCAAAATTGAGTATTCATCAAGCAGATATAGTTACTGGGATTGTTAAATCGTGCATTGATTTCGGATTGCTTGGGAGGAATTTATATCAGTTGTGTGAAGAAATAGTTCATACGGATGAAGCTTCTGGAGTTGAGATTTGTGAAGGATTTCTCAAGATGTGCCCTAAAATTCACGCTGAACATTCTCAACTCCTCCTACCTAGAAGCAGAGCATATCAGGTGAATGTTGATCTCCTCAAAGTATGTGGTAAAGAGAAAATGGCATTTGAGTTGGAGCATAGTGTGTGCCGCGGTTGCTGAAGAAACTGCAGCGGCTGCAAAGTATGGATCTGAAGGTACTCTTCACCCCGTTTACCTTTCAAATCATTGTTGTGATTAGGATTGCCATTCTTTAGAGCCTTGGAGGCTGTTGAAGCTAAAAGGTTGTGGTCTAGTATGATGTAAGTGTAGGGGGGAACTACTGTTGATCTTTTTGATAGGGTACAGTACCAGAAAATAGTAACAACACACTCCACCTCGAAATTGATGGATTTATTGATAAGATTCAAAACAAAGTCTGGGAACAAAGAAGAATTAAAGAAGAAAATTGCAGAATAAAAATTGAGATCTTTCGAGAGGATCTCGCTCTCCCAGTTCTGATCCGACTCCCAGATAGCCACCACTTCCCTTTTCCGTTTGTTTTTTATTCATCGCTTCCCTGCCTTGCGACTATTCTTCTCCACTTTTCCGTTATTATTTTTCTGTCTCTTCCCTTCTCTGGTCTTTTACCTTCTTGCCCCTTCTTTTATAAACTTTAGAAAAATCCCTTTTTTGATTTATTTTGAATAAAGCAGTGCTCGTATCACATTTTAGGTTAACACTTGTCTTGAGTCATGCTTTCATCACCAGCACCTTTATCCCAATTATGTTGGGGTTGGTGACATTAAATTTATAGTACTGCAATTGTCTCTAAAAAAGAGCAGTGTTTCACAAAAGTAGCTAAATGTTGATCCAAAAATTGCAAAAAAAAAAAGAAGTTACACACAAGTTAAATATGATAGACTTAGGGAGTGTTACATTGCTTTAAAAAAGTGCTTTTCAGCTTTTAGTTTTAGAAAAAATTTAAAATAGTGTTTTCAAACTACTACTTTTGTTTACATTAAGCACTTTAAAGCTAAAATACGAAAGCAGGTTAAGGGTTGCTTTAAGTGTTTTTCACTTTTTCTATTACACAAACAGTACTTTTGTAACACTCTAACTTTTACTTTTTCAAACTCACCTTTTTCTCAAACACTACTAACTTTTACTATTAATTACTCACTTTTTATATAATCTCTAAAATTAATCACTTCTCAAAAAGTAGAAGCTGAGACAAATACTCCTTTAGTTATATCAAAGAATAAAAAAGGGCAGCCCGGTGCATATTGGCGTCCCAGAAAGCGAGGGTCTGGGGAAGGGGTCCCCACAAGGGTGTATAAAGTGCAAGCTTTCTATTATCGTTTTAACAAGAGGCTGCTCACAAAACTTAAACCTGACCTCTCGGCCACACATCAACAGCGTAAGCAGTACGCCAGGGCTCTCCTTAAGTTATGCCAAAGAATAAAGTTGAAAAAAACAGGATTTTAAAAGTGTAACACAGTAAGCTCATGCAAAAAAAGCAAGCTAGTGAACGGAATATCTTGGGGATGCAAGAACTCTGAGATAAATATTTCAAAACCAACGTTGTCATAAGTTTTTTTCTTTTGCAAAGGAATATCAGGAGTCATTCATGCGTTTACATTGTTGTTACGGTCAGTGTCCATTGCAAAATTGATATTGTAGGTTCAATAGGTATATCATGAAACATGACCAGACTGTCACTTTTTCTCTTGTAGATTCAGAAAACATATTGGGATGCATTATGAAGGATAGTAACCTGTCCAGGAAGGTGAAGATCGAACTACCAGTTCGAGTGGATTTCGTAGGTGGGTGGAGTGACACCCCACCTTGGAGTCTAGAACGTGCTGGATGTGTGTTGAATATGGCGATAACATTGGGAAGTTCTTGTCTTCCCATTGGTACGACTATTGAGACAAGAAAGGAGACTGGAGTTGTCATCAGGGATGACATTGGAAACTTCTTACATATCAATGATCTCTCCACCATTTCACCTCCATTTGAAAGTGGCGATCCATTCCGCCTTGTGAAATGCGCATTGCTGGTTACCGGAATCGTTAAGCATAAGGACCTTGGCTTGGAAATCAGAACGTGGTCCCATGTCCCGCGTGGCAGTGGTTTGGGGACTTCCAGCATCTTAGCAGCAGCAGTTGTGAAAGCGATTTTGCAATTGAGCAGTGGAGATGAGAGTAACAAAAATGTGACAAGGCTCGTTTTGGTATTGGAACAAATAATGGGGACGGGAGGTGGATGGCAGGACCAGATCGGAGGGCTTTATCCCGGGATAAAGTTCACCACAAGCTTTCCTGGCACCCCTTTGCGTCTTCAAGTCATTCCCCTCTTGACTTCTCCTCAGGTTGTAGAAGAGTTGCAACAACGGCTCCTTGTTGTGTTCACAGGACAAGTAAGTAATAAACAATACTCTTCGGGCTTTGTGAGGTTTTAGCGGGAAGAGTTTTGGAGGAGGTATTTCTATATCTTTACAAAAATTGAAAGAATTACACAACAGGCAATCATTTTACATTCCAATCGCCATTCCTTTCAAATATAGAAATATATCGTCGTCATCATCATTACCCAGTGCCCGCAAAGGCTCCAACCTACGGTGGGGGTAAAGGGGGTCGGATGTACGCAGTCTTACCTCTGCACATGGAGACTTTCCGGATGACCCATAGTGAAAATCGCGTCAAATCGCATGGACTGACTGCTGCTTCATAAGAGAGAAGCGCAGACAGTTTAGTGAGCCATTTTGCTTTATTCCATCATATTTCCAAGCCAAAAAAATAGTGAGTTTTTGGCTCCATTGCAAATGATGTGGAATATATAAGTAAATAAAATTAAATATGTGAAATTGGTTTATAAAGTTTGAACTTATCCCTCACCCACCCCAATTCCCCTTATATTTTCATCATTAATTTTTTTTCAATAGCATTTCCAATGGAGTCAAAGTCTCACTATTTTTTTACTTGGGAATATGATTGAATAACACAAAATGGCTCACTGGACTGTTTGTGCTTCCTTGTTATGAAGCAGCATTCAGTTCATGCAATTTTCAACGCGGTTTTCATCACGGGTCATCCGAAAACAATCTCTCTGTGCTTTAGTATAGGGGTAAGGCTGGTGGCTGCATACATCCGACCCTCTCTTACCCCACCGTTGGTGGGAGCATTTTCGGCACTGGGGGTAATATTGTTCTTGTAGTTAGGGGTGGGCACGGGTCGGGACGGTTCGGGATTAGAGTTATCCCGATCCCAACCCAATTAGTAATAACGGTACGGGACGATATGAGACAAGTCTTTGTCCTAGTCTTGTCCCATTTAAATCGGGGCCTCAATGATTCACAATGGTTCGGGACGTCCCAAACTAACAAAAAATCATCATTTGTAATTAAGATATATTAGCATTTCTAAAGTACCATGCACAAATTATCGACATTTTAAAAGTCAATTGATGTTCATCACAAGCTATCTATTTACAAAAACTTAAAAGCTATTAGATTTTAATTATGTTTAGCAAAAATTGAAATTAAAATTTAAAACAAAGAAAAAAATGAATGAGTTTATTCAAAATTATGTGTTCTAGTTGTGAGATACTCATATGCAAATATATAGTGAGATGAAAACCTATGTTGGTAAATATTTATGTTAGGTATTATTTTAAATTTAAAAATTGGGCTTGAAAAACTAAAAACATACTATCATTTATTTTTTGAGTTGACACTACAAACTAGTCATGTGTTAAAAAAAACTATATCGTCATTACAAACGGGACAACGGCAAGATTTGGGATAACCTTCAAGTATCCTGGTCATGTCCCGTTTTAAACCAGTATGGGATTGGTGCAGGACAAAATGAAAGGGTCCCAAACGGAACTGGACAACACCGGTACGGTTCCGGGATAAACTAGAATGGGACAACGGGACCGGGATTCTTGCCAGCCCCTAGTTGTAGTATTATTTTTCACTAGCATGTTCCTGGTTATAAACTGACCCTTACTTTTCCACACATATCCTTATTTGGTTGGAGGATTTTGTGAAAGGGAGCTTGATATTTATTTTGTTAAATTTATTAGATTCTTTTAAAGAAAGTGAAGATGAAGCATTACACAGGAACACATCATGATATTACTAAATATATGCGGGGTAGTTATTTTTTGGCCTATAACTAATAAATAAGGGTAAAAATAAAATGTGATTTCTACTCCCCCAATCTCTGGGGTCCTCTACGGCCAAATTAGCCGTTGAAATTCATCATAAAAAACTCAAATCTAGGCTGTATGGAGTGGGATCAAAGTTAGGTTAACCTTTCCTTGTTTTTCATTTAAAGTGAATTTCCAGGGGGGATATGAGAAAAATAAAAGTGTGCCTTTAAAGAATGCATGTATTCTCTCTACAGGTCCGACTCGCTCATCAAGTCCTACAGAAGGTGGTTACCCGTTACCTCCAGCGGGACAATCTTCTTATATCGAGCATCAAGCGACTCACGGAACTGGCAAAGGCAGGAAGAGAAGAACTAATGAGCGGCAACATTGACAAGCTAGGGGAGATAATGGCAGAGGCTTGGAGGTTGCATCAAGAACTTGATCCCTTTTGCAGCAACAAGTACGTCGACAATCTCTTTGCATTCTGTGACCCCTTCTGCTGTGGGTACAAGCTTGTGGGTGCGGGTGGTGGGGGTTTCGCTTTACTCTTAGCTAAAACCCGTGAATCTGCTGACGAGATGAGACGTTTGCTAGTGCCGGTCTCTGGTTTTCATGTCCATATATACAATTGGGAAATCTTTATGCAAAATTAGCTTCTTTTGTATTTACTTTAAGATGATGCTTTCTGCATACTAGACTAGTTTGTAATCTTATACAGAATAATATTCTAGTATAAGTATTCACTTCCATTTAGTTAAGTCTTCCAACAAAAACACCCAAGCCATGGTCTCAAAAGAGTTTGGAGTTGGCTAACATGGATTGACACATGAAACCGGACTTAAAAAATAAAAAAGATAATGAAGATTAAAAAATATTGTAATATAAAAATGAGATAAGAAAGATAAGATAAAAAGGATAAAAAAAAATATGAGATAAAAAGGAGAAAAAAATTATATAAGAAGGATTAAATGATAAAGAACTTAAGAAAGATAAAGAAGATAAAAAGATGGGAAAACAAAAACAATCCTCCACGTGAATATTCTTTCTTCACTTTATTCAATTGAAAGTCATACTCTCACCTAACTCAAGAAGAAACATATCACTCTTGATTCCTCTAGTCCATGTCTAATTGAGTCTTTCTCTTCCTGTCATCCCAACTCTTCTCCTCATCTGTCAACTCGTCTATCAGGTGTATTGCTTGGTCATCTACCTCAATTAGACCTGTACTCCATATATTCAGTCTTGCTCCGACTCACCCATGAACTCGTTCTCTAAAGTTTGTTGTCATACTTCCAACTTTGTTTTAACACTTATGTAACACCCCAATTTTGGGAGGTAGTTATATCATTCGTTTTTAGCAAGTGAAATGAATTTCTTTTGTGAATAATGTGATTTATTGTGTTATAAATGTTTTGTGACAGATAACGTTGATCGGTAAGCTCTAATATTTTTAAGTGAAGGATTAAATACTATTCTACGTTTTTTTAGTATAATATTGGTAGGGAGAATATAATAATTCAATTAGATTAGAAACATTTTTTTTGTGGCTAAGACACCCAAATAAGTTATTTTGGCCCAAATCAATATTTTGACTAAAAGCCCTAAAAATAGTATATTTATACACATCATCTAACCAAGACATGCGTTTATCCCCAACCACAGTAGCCGCACATCTCCTCACTTCTTCTTCTCAAAACTCTTCTCTTTCAATCGACCGAAAACCAGTCTCCCTATTTTCCCCTTTCTTGTTGGTAATGTCGGGCCTTTGCTTTTCTCTGTGTTTTTCACGGGCCAACGTCGCCCTCCAACCTACTCTATTTTTAACTTGCTCAGAGCGTGGTTGGGCTTACTATTTTATTTTTTTGGCCTCGTGCACTTGATTTATTCTTGGTAGAATCTGTCAAGGACCATTTTCAATTAATTTGACTTGGTTGCAATGACATTGCTTGATTTTTTCCCCAACAAGCAAAAGTTATCTGTAACGGTCTGCCTTAACTTTCTCCCGATATAAACCAACAGTGCAACACTTTGAGGAGCAGTTTTTGTTATTTAAAGGAAGCTCCCTTCACTTCCAGAATATGAAAAATATAACCTCCTCCTCCTCAAGTCTGAATCTAAAATTCGTGGTAAAGGAACGGTAAACGTGAAACTATCTTCTGGAAATATTCTTAAACTGCTGAATGTTCTGTATTTCCCTTCCATGAGTAAAAATCTTATTTCTAACTTAGCTTTAGATAGGGTTGGGATTGAAACTCGGATTACAAATCAGAAAATTATTTTGATTCATGATGATGGGTTTGTGAGGAAGGGATATGTTCTGAGAGATTTGTACTCCTTAGAGGCTGAGGCCATTGTTGTTTCTGGTGCTAATAAAGATTTTACTTCTGCTTATATTGTTGAATCATGTGATATCTGACATGTTAGATTAGGACATGTGAATTATGGTTCTTTGAAACGATTGCGAAAAATGAACTTGTTGCCTAATCTTACTTCGGATAGTAGTAAAAACTATGAAATATGTGTTGAAGCTAAATTTGCTAAGAAACCTTTTAATTCTATGACCGAGAGGAAAAAAGAACTGCTTGAACTTATTCATACAGACTTAGCTGATTTTAGAAACACGGAAAGTAGGGGTGGAAAACACTACTACATCACCTTTATTGATGACTACTCGAGATTTTGGAAAGTATACCTTTTAAGAACAAAAGATGAAGTAGAAGACATGTTCTTTAAATATAAAGCAGAGGTGGAAGGGGCGTGTGGAATGAAAACCTAGCTCTGGCGAAATATGGAGATTAACCTATGGCATCACCTTCTGTGGCGGCTCAGCCGCCATCATCACCTCCAGATGGTGGGAGGAAATCGTTTGCATCTGCGTTGATTTTTCAACATACAAAGGTCTGCCGGCTGTGACTTTTTCAGAACCTGCTGTGGATACTTTGGCTGCTAAACATAAAAATGCTCTGGTAGGTTATTTCTTTAAGGCTCGGTCTTTTGGAGAAAAAACATGTGTTGATCAGATTCGAATTGGAGGAAGATTACCTATGGTGTTGGAATAGTCAGACGTGGGACATTTTTGGTTGTACTATGTGTGTCACTAAATGGTTATGGATTTTAGGCCTAATATCGAGTCTCCAGTTGTTCCAGTTTGGCTTTCTTTCGAGGGGTTACCATTACCAATACACCTACATGATAAGAGAGCTTTGTTTGACATTGCACGACTCATTGGTAACCCATTGAAGTTGGATTCAGCTACTTTAAACCTCTCAAAGCCATGGGTAGCGAGAGTTTGTGTTGAAGTCGATCTTACTAAGGATATGCCTACCAAGATCTGGATTCAAGCTAACAGAAGTGGATTTATTCAGCCAGTGATTTATGAAAATAGGCCATCCTATTGTCTTTCATGTCTTCATCTGGGACATGATAAGGCAAAATGTCCTAAAACCAATACTACGCTGGGGAAGGAACCTTCAGGAGGGAAGGCAATAGCTACTAACCCAAAGGCTAGTACTTCTAGCTACAAAGAAAAACAAAAGGGGGTTATTATTACAGAACCAGGGAAGGGGAAAGAAGTTCAAATTCAGAAAACTGCAAACGATCCTAATGTCTTGGCCATCACTCATGTGATTGATCAAGTGTCAGGACCTTCTGGGAAGGGGAAAGAAGTCCAAAGCGCTCCTAATGATTTTAATATTGTGATTGAACAAGTTTCAGGACCATCTGGGAAAGAAGTCCAAAGCGCTCCTAATGATTTTAATATTGTGATTGAACAAGTTTCAGGACCATCTGGGAAGCAGGCATCTTCTCCTATTGATTCTGATGTTGAAGAAGTTTATCATGAAGCTCCTCCGGGTGCAACTCTAGCCATCACTCCACGTGCAGATAAAATAGATGAAAGTGATAGAGTGGACAAACTGCAGTTAGAACATATTTTACATAATGACATTCCAGGACTCACGCTCACTAACTTGCAAGGCATTCAGAGAGCTCGGGATGATCACAACATTCACCATATGCAGCAGGTGTTAGATCTTGACCCAGAAAAAGCTGCAAAGGAGTATGCATCAGATTTAGATGTGCCCAACTGTTCATAAAATGTTGAATCATGGATAGAAGAGTTACCTTCTATTAACAGCAAGGTGGCAATTATGTTACATGCCAGGGGTGAAGTCCTTGATTCTGAATTATTGGATGCTCTTGCCTCCAAACCTGCTACAAATTCCAATGAAAGCGGGGAAGCACAAGGATTCATACAAGTGATAAGGAGAAGAAGGAATAGGAAGCCTAAAATTGTGGAGAGTTTCTCGATGCAAACCAGAAGTACAGCCAAAAGGCTGCCTAAAACTACTACCAATCCTTCTAAATGAATTGTCTTGTATGGAATCTAAGGGGTTTGGCAGCCTCCAGTCCAAGCCTGAGTAGTCATCTTAAGAATTGGAGGATTAATTTACTCATTATTATTGAACCTTTGGTTGATATTAATAAAGCTATTCAGTACAAGTTGTAGCTTGGTTTTAGTGATGTTATTTACTCTAATAACAATAACATTTGGGTGTTTTGGGACTCAAATTATCTCAGCGTTTCAGAGGTAACTTGGGATCCTCAATTCATTCCTTTTAAGGTTTCATCTGGTTCTTTCTCTGGCTGGATCACTGGTATATATGGTCATCATACTGTGTTATAGAGGAGAAAGTTGTGGGTCTCTCTAACATCCTATGCTGGTCAAATTAGGGGGCCATGGATGATTGGGGGAGACTTTAATGCTATTGTTGATCATGGGAAACATATGGGGAATACTAGCCCAGATATTCAGAGTATGATTGATTTTAAAAACTGCATTTCAGATTGTGGTCTTGTGGATTTACCATTTTTTGGTAATAAATATACATGGACTGGTGTAAGATCTAATGGTAGGGTTTGGAGAAGACTCGACAGAGCCTTCTGCTTATATTGTGGACACTAAAAAACTATTTGCGTCAAGCTTTTTGTGTCGACTTTTTTGCGTCGACTGGTGGGCGCAAAAACACTATTTGCGTCGACTTTTAGTCTTTTGCGTCGACAAAATGTCGACACAAAAGATGCTTTTTCTTGTAGTGTGAGTTCTCGAATTCGGATCTCGTGAAGTTAACTTCTAATGCACTTGTAATTGCGGGTGTGTATTGGTTTTTATCTAGCTGTTTATACCACAACCTTTGCTTAATTTTGTTATTTCCCATTGTTTATTTTGTTGTCTTTTTGTTAGGAAATATTTTGGTATATCACATTTATAGGTGTAGGCAGTGTTCCTTGTAATAATCTATTCCGAAATTGTGTTATAGGGGTTGCTTTTGAGTTGTAGGATCATAAGAGAAAGTATATCAACATCTACGAGAAAAATGAAGACAAGAGAGACAAACTTTATGACTTTGTGTATTGGTCGAGATGTATAAAAGGAAGAAGAAATGAGAAGAACAAAACTGAAATGATATGATAATAAATCTAATCAATTGAAATAATATGTTGAATCATGTATTTGTTGATATACTTTTATATGTTATTTTTTGTTGCTTTTTGTTGCATCACACATGTCTTTGTTGCATGATGTTGTTTTTTGTTGCATCGTTTGTTGCATTGTGTTGCTTATTGTTAAGAGTTGTTGATTTTATATTTTGTTTTTTGTTTTTTTTAGGTTTATATTTATCTTAGCTACTTATTTAAAATAAATAACCATATATAGATTTATATACAAATACATAACATGATAAAAATGGACTTATGAGTATCAACAATAAAAAGAAACATGAAGCAACAATAAAAAAACAAAAGTTTTAAAACATCAACAACAAAAACACAAAGAAACAATATGAAACAAGAGTAAAAATATATTGATAATAGTAAAAACACAAATTTATAATTATTTTTAACATGTTAAATTAAAAACTTTATATTTTAGTTTTTTGGTTTTTATTTGTTTTGACATTTTTGTTACCGTTTCCGCATTTTTATTTTCCAGCCTTTAATATTTTACATGTCATTTCATTTACTTTAATTTTATGTAATTTTCTTAATATATATTTTTATTATGTTTTCGAATTTTATATATTTATTTGAAGTTTTTTCGTTTTATAGATACTGATTAAACAAACTTCTCTAGTAGGCCCTCTGCCGAGGGGTACCTCCAACAACAGGTACATCATTGTGGCCATTGACTACTTCACCAAGTGGGTGGAAGCTGAGCCCCTCGCCAGCATCACCGAGGCTAGGTGCGGAGGTGCCGCCACTTCGTTCTCAAGAACATTCTCACAAGGTTTGGCGTCCCCCAACAAATCATCTTCGACAATGGAACCCAATTTGAGGCAACCCCCTTCTGTGCCCTCCTAGAGGCATGGGGCATCAAACACACATTCTCTTCGGTTGCCTACCCTCAAGGCAATGGACAAGTGGAGAACGCCAACCGGACTTTGCTTGAGGGTCTAAAAAAGAAGCTTGAAGCCGAAGGAGGAGGCTGGGTAGAAGAACTTCACAACATTCTCTGGGCCTACCGCACTACCCCTAGGCGAGCAACAGGTGAAACACCATTCTCCCTGTGCTATGGATTCGAAGACAAGGCCTCTACGGAGGTAACTTGATAAGTCTAATTTGTTCATATATTTTCACTCACCTTTTATAGTGTTTCTTGTCAAACTCGGGGCAAATTGTTACATTTTTCTGCGTTTTTGTTTCATTTTTGTTAATGTTTAAAATTAGTGTTGGAGTTTACATTTTTGAGTGATTTGTGTTAAATTGAGGTGTTTGGATTGATTTTTGTTTTGTTTTTCACTTGTGTGATACGGAGTGTTAGTACCCAATTTTGATAGATTTTGATGATGCCACTATACTTAGCACCTGTACGTTGTGTCATATTCAATTCAAGTACGTTGTGTCAAAATTTTCCAAATAAATGTACAATTTTTTAGACTAATGAAATAGTACCGGAAAAGTAAAAATGCAATAAGGTAATTTTTGTTTACCTTAAAAGGATATTTAGATCCAACCGGTACATATCATTTGGCTCAAAGATTAATTAAATGTCACACTTTAAAGATGCTCGAAAAATCATATACATCGAATGTGTATGATTGGAAGACAAAATTTGACCAGCATTAAATACTTAAACAGGTACATGGTCCTACAGCATGGGACGTCCTCTTGGAGTGAAGCTGCAGCGGCTGAAGACACACCCATGCCGCGGCCCAATCATTCAAGACAAGGAAACAAAAGCATTAAAAGCTCCTGCACAAAAAGACGAATGTACAATTCGTCCTTACCAGACCTTCAACGCACAAGATTAATTCATCTCAACCAATGGATAAGATTAATCAACCATGGAGGCCTATAAATATAGGTAGAAGCATGAGTTCGAAAATAAGTTTGAGCATCCTAAGTAGAGAAATACTTTCATCAAAGCATATACGAGTCATCTAGCAAAAGAGAAAGTGCAAACTCAACTTTACTCTCTGCTTAGCCTCATGCTTCACTAAGCTCTTAGATTAGATCAACACTTTCATATTTTTAGAGCTTAGTTCATAGTTGGAGGTTAGAAATTTCTTGTATTTTACAAGTGGTTGTAAACACTTAGGAGAACAGTTGTTCGGATCCTAAAGTGTAATTAGATAGATAGAGTACCTTTTGATCCCCACTGGATCATTTGAGAAAAGTCTAAGGACTGAGTAACTTTGAGTGGTGTCATACTCATTGTGAAAAACCTTCAATCTAGGCCTCAGTGTTGTAAAGGCTAGATTGGCACTAAGTGTATTGGGCTTAATACTTTAGTGGAAATCCATCTGAAATAGGGTGGGACTGGATGTAAGAGGATTACACCACCTCTGAACCAGGATATACCATGTGTTGATTTCCTTTTACTCACCAGAGCACACACCCAACACTTCTCATTAAAGGGATCGTAGTTTGCCAGCAGCATCCTAAGCAGTCGTCTTAATTGACCCTACTGCTTATCCTACTGCTCAATAACTCACTTTTCCTTGAGACAATTGTTTCACACGAGCTTTGAATATCACTACTAAAAGGTGTGGTTGGTCAGTCCTCAAAGATACTTCTTTATAAGCAGCAGACGGCTTAGCAGTTTCCTGGGTCTACCCAACTGCTCAGACCTCTGCTCAGGCAAAACTCTTTACTATCTTCAACTCAACACATATTCAGTAAGCCCTCATCATTTTCTACAAGGCCATATTATCATCTCTCCCAAGCTCCCATTTTCTACCAACAGTTGCCTCAGCAGTTCCCTGCCATCCAGGCAACTGCCAAGCCAACTGCTCACTGTTTAAAGTCCAATCTTCCCCAAATTAGAAAGTGGTCAAACCCTCATTACATAAAGGGTAAAGACTTCCGTTGTGCATCTGTTAATCTCTCAAAAGATTATAGATCAACTCCTCTAGAGGGAAAACTTTGTAAGATTGAAAAAGATTTAAAAGTCTATTCACCCCCCCCCCCCCCTCTAGACTTTTACCCTATCCGGGACCATCACGGAGTATATGTTTTGTAATTTGTTAAATTTCAACATTCTCTTAGGTTTCAATGTTTTCTTAATACAATAAACAAATGAAGTGCATTAATTAATCAACAGAAAAGCAAAAAAAATTGCAGCTAATTAAGCTGCGTGAAAGCAAAGAAAAACCAACAAAAGAAAACAAAACAAAATTAAAAGAAAGACAGGAAAAGAAGGCACAATCAGTCTAGCACATGGTTGTGGCCACATCAAAATAAAATGAAACAAGAAAGAGAGGAGGAAAGCTAGTAGCAGCTGCAGCACATGGTGCGGCCAACGGAAGGGATAGGACTACGGGAGCTCCATCAGTAGCAGCCAAGAAAAGAAAAAAAAAATCCGGGGAGAGCAGCTGGCCACAAACAGAATTCACACCCACAATTTAGGCGCAGAGCCAATTCACTCCCGCAAGACTCAGCCGCAGGAAGAAAAAAAATGTAGATCCAAGGGCGGTAGCAAGCAGCAGGAACCGTGCCAATTAGAGGAAGAAATCTCAGTCAGTTACTCCATGTTCATTCATCTTTCAATCTTTGTTGTTAAGGTTTTGTGTTAAATTTCCTCTTTAATTTCATGTTTGAATAAGCTTTAATTTTCGTTCTTGGATTATTTATCATTTGGAACTACTCTTAAGTTCGTTGTTGAACTGTTTTTATGTTGAATTTCTATTCGAATTATTTCCATGGATTACTTTAGCTCTCCATTAATGATGTTAGTTTCTTGATAAGTATGTTAGGCTAAATTTCCATGGGGTTTGGATTTGGTTAAATTAAGGTTAATGGGTGTTCTTGAATATTGAATTGAATTTAGGAGAATTTTCTAATTTTTAGAACTAGTTGTTGAGATGAAATTAAATGAGTAATTTGTGAAATTGATCACTTCACTTGTGAATTTTCAGAAGATTAATTCTTTCTTGTCTATGAGTTTAGAATTAATTTAGCTCACATCTCACACACCTTAAACTAAGCCTAGATATAGGACATGTTAGGGAATTAAAATCAAGTTCTTGTCTATGAGAATTAATATATCACTATTCTTAAATTGGAGAAAATTTCCCAAATTTGTTCATAATTCAAAGACACCCAAGATCCTTAATTCCAAATCTAGACCCCACTTTTAATTAGTTAATTTATTGTTACTAGTCACATTGAATTTACTTTTTAGCATTTTATTTTCGAAACCTTTTCATCCACATGTTTGCTACTTAAGTAAAATTAGTTAAATTCCTCTCTCAAATTATTTTGCATGTTCACTAGTTTTATTTTACTCAATAATGCCATTTAATTAAATTCTCTGTTACTACTGTTATTGTTTATTTTTATTTGGCTAATCATTATCACAATCTAATCGTTTGAGAAAGCTTGCAACGACTCGTACTAACCGGTGACCGATATTGAAACCAACACTTCCCTCCGCCACTCCTCAGAGACACGATACTCGGGGAAAAACCGAAAGGTTAGACTCCGTTTTACTACAACGCCGCGAAAGCGGTTATTATAACTCTACCAACCCGAAGGGTGGATCAGTACGACCCCGAGGTCAATGACACCAACATGGCCCTCGACCTTCATCTCATCTCAGAACGCCGAGAGCAGGCCTTTATCAGGGCTGAAAATTACCGACGACAAGTAAAAGGCTACATCGACTCCAAGGTCCGCTCCCGAGAGTTTCAAGTGGGCGATTACGTCCTCCGACGGAGGGAGGTCAGTCAACCCACCGAAGGGGGTAAAATGGCACCAAAGTTTGAAGGGCCATACATTGTCGCAGCCATCATCAAACCAGGGACTTACAAGCTGAAACGCCTTAATGGGACTGAGGTCCCTAGGCATTGGAACGTACACCACTTAGTCAAATTCTATCAATAACATATGAGCGGCCAAACCCTCATGACCTATGTATTTCATCAACGGCCCAAGGCCTCATGTTCCTCAGAAGAATAAAAAGTGTTGAAAAACAAAGTACCAAGTACGGAAGGCATATGAGCGGCCAAACCCTCTTCATTCACCTGTATGGGTGATCAACGGCCCAAGGCCCCCTCCTCTCATAAGGATGAATAAAATATAACATCACCAACCAAGGTACCAAGTACCAAGTGGGCGGGGTACACCCGCCACGCTTAAAACACCAAGTGTTTTCACATAAGTCGTTCCCCTCGAGGACGCCCCCATGCATACATTGTGGTAACGCATACTCATACACATACATAAAAAAAACGGGGGGTACAATACCCCTCGGCTTTGGCAGGTACCAAGTGCCCCAGGCTATTTGTGTTCCACACACAAATAAAACTCTTCCCTGAAACGCTTTCCGCGCCATCCCCCATGGGGAGGCAGGCAACGGACCATGTCCTGGGCCCAGGATTCGACTTGCACAAACGAAATGCTCCCCGCGCTATCCCCCAAGGGGAAGCAGGCAACAGACCATGTCTCGGGCTGAGGGGACGACTTTCAAAACCGAGGCGCTTTCTGTGCCATCCTCCAAGGGGAGGCAGACAACAAACGATGTCTCGGGCCAAGGAAACGACCCTCAAACCCTTCGGGATCTCGGAAGGTCAATCCCAAAGGGGGAGCCAACGGTTTATTCCGTTGTCTCCCATATAAGCCAAGCCTTTCCAAGAGACCAAGTTTCTTCATGCCCCTCCTACAGTATAAAAAATGTGTAGGGGGAAGGAACTCCTTGGATGCCATGCTCCCGGAGGCTCTTCTACACAAACAACGCCACGGAGATAATTCTCCGAAGGCTACTTGCTTACAAGGAAAAGGATCGCAAGGTTAATTCACCCGAAGGATTCTTGCTCACAGTTTGACTAAGTTCCGTAGAGACCATGCTCCCGGAGGCTCTTCAACAACAGACAGCGTCACAGGAACTCTTCCGAAGGCTCCTTGTTCAAAAATTGAACGACTCTCCACATCAAAGTCAACTCGGTTGGCTGAGCCGAGGGCACGGAGTCCCTATTGGCATCGAAAGGGAAGTTCCCTAGGTTTAAATCAAGCTTAAAGGGAACCACCGGGGGTTCACTATCTCTCATATCCCGAAGGCCCCCCTGGTCTCATTACGCAGGACTTCACTTTAGGGGGGGAGCACCGAAGGGTACAGGCCAAAGGAGTCTACTCCGACAACGTGGAAATTTGACTAAGTCCACGAGTTGATACCCCCCGGTGATACATCCTTCGACCTCAGTATGCTGAACTGACCTATTCCCGGGGGCCATCACCCTACACACCCAAAGGGTGAATTTGCCCAAGTTTCAAACTGGCTACCCCTCATTTGATTCTCTTTGAGCTCACTGGGGTCCCAACAGCAGGAGGCTCCTACAAATAACTTAGCCTAGGGCTAATCACAGGATTTATTGCGAGCAACCCTAAGTCCACAAAGTGGACCCCTCGACTATACCAATCACCATGTCACTCAACTGGCTCAACACACCGAAGGCATGGCGACTATGTTTCTTTGGGAAAAATTCTAAGTCCACAATCATGGAGCCTACAGTAATTCTACTCTGAGAGGACCGTGAGCCGAGGGCATCCTCATACTATTTAGCGGGGGGTTACCGGCTACGATCAGCAGAGGGCTACAATCAACACAGGGGAATTACTTGGTCCAGTTTACCTGTAACACCCCGATTTGTATGAGCTAGTTATGTTTCATTATTATATATTTTAGTCAGCTAAATAAGTTACTTGTGTGAATAATGTGATATTTTGTTTTCAAGTTTTGTCTGTGGCAGGTAACGTTGACTGGTAAGCTCCAACATTTTCAAGTGAAGAAATAATCGATAGTATATATTTTATTAGTATAGTATTAAGAGGTAGAATATAATAATTTGGTTGGGTCAGATTCAATTTATTTAGAAGGCTAAGAGACCCAAATCAATTATCTTGGCCCAGATCAATATTGTAACCAAAAACCCTAGAAAGAAATACTTATACGTCATTTAGAAATTCCGTGGAGTAGTTAAGTTATGTTCCTTTTCTTCCGTAAGCATCCGTTGGTCCTTGTTCTTCCTTCCGGAAATTTTCATCTCACCGAATTCACCGCATTTAAGAACAAAAATTTGGTATGTTAGAATTTCCCTTTCATGGCATCCTTTCTTCTTATCTTTCAATTGGCACACATTAGTAATCGTTTTGTCAATTCAGTTGCTTTTGCTAGAGATTGGCGTGACTGAAAAGTTTTCAGCCAAAATGGTTTTGTTTTAGTTAAACAAATTAGGTCAATTCGAGTTTAAGTGGATTTTTTTTATGTTTGAGTAATTTAAATAAGTTATAATCTGAATGGCTTGGAATCTAGTAACTTCCTTCCTAAATCAGAGGAACCATATGCATCAACGTTGTAAGAATGCTTTGTAATAAAAAAATGATTCTTTTACTAATCGGGCTAACGTTGAACTTGGTAAAATACAAATGTTAAGCAACTGAAAAATAAGATGATTGAGGAATACAAAGATATTCTCTAGATCACGGATTGAATTTTGGTTATTAGATCCATAAGCCAAATTTTTTTTTTCAGTGTTCAAGAAAAGCTATGTGCAAGACTGCTGCTGCTGTTTCACTTCGATTTCAGAGAAATAATTATTACTTCTTAATTCTTATGTGTTAAACTATATAATCCCTTGAAAAAAAAAGTTTATTCAAAGCATCTGAAGTGAATTTTATTGAATACGATTAGGCTAATCGGATTAGCTAATGTACGAAGTATTAAACCATTTTTTAAATTGGAGTTCAAAATTTTATACCTTCAAGTATGCTTTGTTTAATCAAAATTCATAAATCTTGAACTCTAATTTAAGGCATAATGAGCTCCAATTATACCCGTTTTTACTACGGTTGATTTCCTCAATTGATTTAAGTTTAGCAAGGTCAACTAAATTTTTCCTTCTGGTTGGTTAGTATGTCTGGTAGAAATTAAAGCCTTAGTCGTATAGCCAACTTTCGCACCCTGGCATACTCTTATTTTATAATTACATTTAATTAAAGATTATTAAGGAAGAGCTCACCAGAAGACGTTATCAAGGTGCCAAATTTATCTTAGTATTTTGAGTTCAGCTGTTGACAGGTAAGTTCACTACCAACTATACATGTTTGTTCAACCAAATGAAAGAAGGAAGTCTGGTTGATTTTTAATAGATGATTTTAGGCTATTTGCTATTATGTGAACTGAGTGAATTATGTGATGAGTTATTTTATTTGTTGTATTAAGTTATGTTTATTATCTGGCAGAGTCAATATCTTGTCTGTGCTTTGATTTTCAGATTTAATGATGTTTCAATCAAACGTCACCGTAAAAAGAACTAATACATAAAGTGAAAGATTAAGTGATATGTACTCGGGAACAAGTTCCCACAGAGTTATCAGATTATCAGTTTACAGTTTCAGAGAGTCCGATATGTTTAGTGGGTCGCTCCCCTGAGCTGTCGGATTGGCGCCTTTGAGTACATATCACGGGCCCACAGAGTAAAATTAGCCACAAAGAGTAGTACAGAAAGTTGTTTAATGAGATCTCTTTCAGAAAGTTTCACAGAAAGTTTTTTTTGAGATCTCTTTCAGAAAGTTTTACAGAAAGTTGTTTTTGAGATCTCTTTCAGAAAGTTTTACAGAAATTAAAGTTGTTTTGAGATCTCTTTCAGAAAGTTTTACAGAAAGTTGTCTTTGAGATCTCTTTCAGAAAGTTTTACAGAGATGTTTTGAGAATGAAATTTTGAGATCTCTCCAGCAGTTTTGAGAAAATATTTTAGAAAATATTTTCCTTTGAGATCTCACTTCGAATGTATTTGTGAAGTTATGTGTTAGTTATTTGTTCAGTGCATGCTTATAGCCTAAATTTATCTATTGATAAATTGGTCTAGACTTCTAGATATTTTTGTGGAGCCATAGTGACTTACTAAGCGTAAAGCTTATCAGTTTTCTTTCTTCGCATGTACAGATACTAAAGGTAAGGTCAAGGCCTAGGAAGATGATGAGGGAGTGGAACGCGTGCCGAAATGAGTTAACGGGAACGACCTTCGCAGTATCTAGCTAGTTATTATTGTATTTAGATATAGTTGTTATAATAAAGTGATTATTATAACTTTATTTTATTTTATTTTAAGGATTTGAAGTTTGAATAAATTCCTGGATCCAGGTGGTTGTCACATTTGCTGGTGATAACTATATTATATTAAGTTTTTATTTGGAGTTGTTTTAGTTACTTTTGAGATTTTATCAGGGTTATTTTCTTAAATAGACGGCCGTTATATTGCAATTATTTTTAAGAGTAATAAGTTTGTGTAACGTATCCTTTAACCCTGAGAGGGGCGTTACATTACCCGAGGGCCACCCTTAACATTTATGGGGACCATTTACAAAACTTTCGAAGTCCACAAAGGGAACCCCTCAGCCAAGCGGAAGTCGTCTGAGGGCTTATCCCCTAAGATCCACAAATACTGAGAAAATTTTCTTAGTCCAAAAACTTTGGGCCCTCGGATTACCATTGAAGATTCACAACACAAAAATATGCATTCATACGAATGGAAGAAGGCATACATAGAAACACAAGAAGAGGAAGACACGCAAACAACAGGTGAACACCGAAGGCGCATAACCGAGGGCACGTTAATGATTTCTACTTGGAAAATTTTCTAAGTCCATAAGTCTGAGGCCCTCGAACAAACATATGAAAGAAAGAGAAGCATACATTCATACACAAGGGCAGCAAATTAAGGCACACATGAAAAAAGGAAGAAGGCATTCATATCAGAAAGCCCGAAGGCGCACCATTCATTCATCAAGTATTCAAGGTAGATTGTTTGATTACAAAATGGCCAAGGCCGGAAACTGCTACACCACTACAAAAGAAAAAACTAAGAAAAAATCCTAAGTTTCAGCTAATTGGGCATCATCCCCTCCCTCCGGCTTGGAGGCAGCATCTTCCCCAGTCTCCTCCTCATTACCCTCCTGCATGAGTTCGGAGTCTTTCAGGTTCGGTCTCTCTTCACCCGAGGGAAGGGGAATTCTAACATCCGGCTGCAGAGGAGGAAGGCCATATGCCGCCGGGTCGAACTCCTTCGGCTCAATCTTGAGATGTCGGGCTAGCCTCCGGTAGATAAGGTTTTGAGTAAAAAACTCGCCACCGTCGTAGTAGTCCTTGCCCTTTTGGGCTAGCCACATAGCGCCCGGACCCTTCACCCATTCGTCCACCGAGGCTTCCATCACTGAAGCCAGCCACTGCTTATGCTCCTCAGTCTTCCACCCCTCGGCGGTGAAAGCAACAACGGCGTCCTTCTTGGCTTGCGTGACCGCCTCTTCCTTAGCAACCTCGGCTCCCTCAGCAGCCTTTTTAGCGGCTTCGGTTGCGGCCTTCTCGGCTTCGGCCTTGCCTTCGGCCCTGCCTTCGGCTCTGGCCACCGTTTTGGAGTTTTCAAGAATCTTATTAAAAGCCTCCTTCTCCAACCAGAGGGTTTCTTGAACCTCCTGAAGCTGCCTCCGCGATTCAGCCAAGGCTTCATCGGCTTGCAGCTTCTGGGCCTGAGATTGCTCCATCCTCTGAAGCAGTTCGCTGAGTCTGAGGGCAGCCTACAAGTGAAACCATCAAACAACAAGAGTTAAACCACTAAGATCAAAATGTGCTAAGTCAAATCAACTAAGGAGAAAGGAGAAAGAAGAATCTTACAGTGACGGAGGCCTGAAGCACTTTGGCACCGAGGGCATCATCCTTGACCCTGGATAACACCGACTTGTCCGTCGGGGGAGTAGCACCCCTCAGGAACTCCCTCGGGTTGAGGGTGCCGTGCATGATGGTTGTTCCCTTGGTGATAGAGAATTGCACATTGTCCCGGGGCCAGGACAAATCGTTAACCTGGTCCCGGGAAGGAGGAGGAACATTCGCCATGGCCGGAGGGGAAGAGGAAGATTGTTCCTCAGCAACGACAATGGGGGCATCCTTCTTCTCAGCACCCCCATTTCTCTTCTTTTTCTCCGGAGGCACCACGCCCTTCCCGGCATTTTTTCTCTTGAGCTCCGCCTTAGAGCCCCCGGCATCAGCGCCGGCATCAACAGGCTTGGAGGGTCCCTCACCCTCCGGGACCTGAGCAGCCCCATCCTTCTTGAAGAAATCATCAACGGGTTTTTGAATCCCCGTCCCCTTCTTCTTCTTAGGCTCCTTGGCCAATTTCTTCTTTAGAGCGACGAAGTTTGAAACATCCATGCTGGCACCTGCAAGACAACAACGATTATTAGACTGAGGGGATCAACTACAAAAACAGAAAGGAAATGCAAAAATCCTAAGTACAACAAAGCGGAGCCTTCGGAAACTACCTCATATGCTCCCGACGACTCGATCAAGGACGGGGTACTTCTCGTCCCGTTCACCCAGAAAGCGGTAGCGCCGGAAGCCCAATCTGAACAGGTCATCCGGGAGGGTCGAGTCCTTGACTGTCACATGCTTTGTGGCCCCCTCCGGAAGAGCAAATATTTTCTTTCCCTCCTTCTCGAGGGCAGCACTCCCCACCTTCGGGTGCCGCCTGAAATGGTTGCGCAACTCCCTCGGGAATGGATTTTCCGCCATCTTGACGTAGCAGAAGCGATCTTTCCAGCCCTTGTGGGATGAGGGCACATCGTCAAAAAGCCTCCACGGGGCGATCTGCTGCAGGTTTGCGAACACCTCGAAATTTGTATGGCCGCCCCGGCAGAGGTTGAAACTCTGGAAGAAGAGGTCAAGGCTGGGAGTGCCCCCCCGAGACCGGCAGAGATGTAGGAAGCCAATAATGTGGGAGTGACTATTTGGGGTGAGCTGGCAGGGGGCTAAACCTACGTACCTAAGGTACTCGAGGAGAAAAGGATGCAGCGGAAACCGAAGGCCCATCGCGACAGACAGCACGTGGACCGCAAAGCACCCCTCGGGAGCCTGGGACAGAAGGTCATTGGAGCCCGATTCTATCACTGTCGCCGAAGGCCCCACATGGAGTTGAGTAACGTAGCACTCCGCCTGATCAGCCCTCGACTTCAGCGCAAGGGCAGCAGTATTCAACCATGAATGCCCCTCGGGTATTCCCACGGGCTTCCCACAGTCCGCCACACTATGTTTCTTTTTCTGGGGAGCTTTCGTCTTCTTCTTGTTCTTCGCCGGGAGTGCAGCTCTGAGAGGATCGGGGCTAAGGGGTCTTGAAGTTCCAACTCCATCAGCTACAGCCAAAGGGATGGCAATCGTCACCTGAAGGCGTTCTTTCTCCTCCTCCTCCTCGGCAACTTGGAGAGCGAGGGCCATCTCTTCATCTTCGGCTACCTGCTCGAAGTCCTCTGCTTCCATTTCCGTCCGTAGGTTGTTCTGGATTTCTTCAGCCACAGCAGAATCGCCATGAGCCGAGGGATGCTCGCTCGACGACTCCACATCCGAAATGCTCTCGGATTTTGTCAGGGCCTCCCTCGATATGTTTTGGGAGTCACTTGCTGAAGACATCTTTCGGCTACTAGGTTGGGAAGTTTGAGGGAAGAAGGCTTCCTAGGATCTCTAAACACTAGATCTAAGGCCAGGGAAGCAAACTATGCTAAGAAACTCAAGAACATGTGAGGAACTGACCTTAGAAGCTCGGTTTGATCGAGGGGATTGCTTTCTCTCTCTAGAAAAATTGGCAGAGCTTCGCTTCACAACAAAACGCACAAGGGAAATGGAGCTCGGCCTTAGGGTATATATAGGCTCCCCAGCATCGAAATATGGGCCTCGGTTTGAAAGCCCATCATTACGGGCCGCCGCGTCAACCAATGGGTGGCAACCGCCCCCCTTCAACCAGCGGGTGCATGCCACGTGGGCCCCTCCTCCAACGGTCATGTTCCAATGGCTATATTTCAAGGAACACGTTGTGCCCTCAGGGGAACCCTCCGGCTCATCACATATCAGCAACCCCTCATCCGAAATGCCCCCGGGTTATTACATCACAATAAAACTCCTTCAGCCCGAATAGCTTTCGGCTTAAAGGAGTGGGGGACTGGGATATACCCCTCGGGAACAACACAAAACGAAAAATTGACATGTGCGAAACAAAAATATACAAGTGCCAAGGCAGCTTCCAGGTACCCTCAAAAATGAAACCCCTCAGGGTGCACGTTATCATTGCACCCTTCAGGAATAAAACAACGTGACAAATCGTTGACTCCCCCCTTGGACCAACAGTGAGATGCACCAACGGGAGATGCACACTTGCGAACACTTCCATCCAGGAAGCCCTCAGCTCCCGACATGTGGGGGACTGAGGGGATGCCCTCGGCAAAGCAGAGAACAAGGGATCAGTTAAGGCGCGCCATCAAACAAGGAAGCCTTCGGGAGAATCACCCCAGTTACTCTTTTTCCCTCAAGTACCTCTCGACAAAAGGAGTGGGGGACTCCTGATGGAGTATATGGCCCGGGAACCCCCGACCCACAGACTCCTGCTACTCCAACATAGGCCCAACAGGCCCAAGAAGCGCATGAAGCCCGAAGCACAGCGGCCCAAGCTCAAAGAAGCCCACAATGCGCCTAGGGTAGCCTTCGGCAGTATGGCCGAAGGCTCCAAAACTCACAGGGCAGCCAGATTCGAGCATACGAAGCTACTGAGAGAAAATGGCAGAAATCAAGAGCCTTCGGCACTTCCGTGCCCTCAGCATCAGGGAGCCTTCGACTACACAGAACCCTCGGCCGCAGGGGAAGCCTTCGGCTAACAGATCAATCATCGAAGATTCCCTTTCGAGACAAGCAACCACCGCATTTAATGCGGCGTCACGTCCAACCACCGCATTTAATGTGGTGCACATGCGAGTGCTGGTGCCACCCCGATTGAGGTGACCCCTCGACCGTTAGATTACTGACACGTGTACTCTCATCACATTTATTGCTGCTATAAATAGCAGCCCTTATTCCTCTTGTAAAGGGAGAACATCTCGAGTTCATTGATATAAACGACTCTCTCTCTTACTTGCTTGCTCTGACTTCTCTCTAGGTTATTCTCATAATAACCTCTCGGATAAGCTATCCCCGGGTACACTGTCCATCAAATAACTATATAACTTTGTTGAGTTTAATCCAACACGATATAATAAATATATGTATGAACACTCAGTTTTTACGTGGAAACCCGAAAGGGAGAAAACCACGGGACTTTTTAGGCTAATGTCCAAGCCCTCTCTTTCTCATTAATCTCTCCTCACCATTACACAGTACAATTTGAGCTCCCATTCATGGAGTATCATCTAATCTAGAGAGCTAAAGGAAGAAGGAAAAAGATCCTTTACATGGAGGCTAAGCTCCTTATTTATAGGAGAAGGGGAGAAGGGGCTCTCCACCCTAATGGGCCAAACGGGCCGATATCGGGCCTGGTGGGCTAAAATGGGCCTTACTGATTGGGCTTCGTACCACGTGAAGCCTTGGACTCCTGAACAGTAATAGGCCGGGATAATATATCCCAACACAAGTCCCCCAGTTTCTTGAGTAGTGAGCTCGCGAATCTGCTCGAGAAAATATACTCTGCCTGCGCTCTTCCTCTGTCTTGCTGGAAACTGTGTCTTCACATAATCATAATATATGAGTGAGTGTCTGCACTCCTGAACGTAATCTGCCGGTGAGGCACCCCCCTTCCCGACGGGGTCGGGCGAAGGGTGCTCCTCCACGGGCACACTCCCCCTGAATGCATCAGGTGGGAGTAAAGGACTCTGACTCGAGCTTTCCAATCGGAGAAGCTTAGAGGTCCATGCATCTATAAACCGACGTCGCGGTACTGCCAAAACATGATGCACGTGTGTATGTATGAATGTATGAGGTATGATGCATGAATGCATGAATGCATGTAATGTATGGGTGCAATGTATGAGAGAAGGAATGCAAGATGTGATAGAAAGCGGTGGCTCTCATCGATAAATTGGGCATGTCAGCGCCGAGAGGCAGACGTGCTGTATAAGACGGTCATCGCCATCCTAGAAAGAATGGGCGATCCGAAGATGAACTTGACACAATGGCACGGAGGGGCCGATTGTGCTGCATAAGAGATGTCCGTCGCCATCCTGGAAGGGATGGGCGAGCCGAACATGAGCCAGACACGATGGCACAGAGGCGCTGATCGTGCTGCATATGAGACGGTCGTCGCCATCCTGGAGGGAATGGGCGAGCCGAACCGTGAATCCGGACACGATGGCGCTGAGGGGCCGATCGTGCTGCATAAAGACGTTCGTCGCCATCCTGGAAGGGAATGGGCGAGCCGAACATGAGCCAGACACGATGGTGCTGAGAGGCCGATCGTGCTGCATAAAGACGTTCGTCGCCATCCTGAAAGGGAATGGGCGAGCCGAACATGAGCCAGACACGATGGTGCTGAGAGGCCGATCGTGCTGCATAAAGACGTTCGTCGCCATCCTGGAAGGGAATGGGCGAGCCGAACGTGAGCTGGGTACGATGGCGCTGAGGGGCCGATCGTACTGTATAAGACGGTCGTCGCCATCCTGGAGGGAATGGGCGAGCCGAACCGTGAGTCTGGACACGATGGCGCTGAGGGGCCGATCGTGATGCATAAGACGTTCGTCGCCACCCTGGAAGGGATGGACGAGCCGAACGTGAGCTGGGTACGATGGCGCTGAGGGGCCGATCGTACTGCATAAGACGGTCGTCGCCATCCTGGAGGGAATGGGCGAGTCGAACCGTGAGTCTGGACACGATGGCGCTGAGGGGCCGATCGTGATGCATAAGACGTTCGTCGCCACCCTGGAAGGGATGGCCGAGCTGAACGTGAGCTGGGTACGATGGCGTTGAGGGGCCGATCGTACTGCATAAGACGGTTGTCGCCATCCTGGAGGGAATGGGCGAGCCGAACCGTGAGTCTGGACACGATGGCGCTGAGTGGCCGATCGTGATGCATAAGACGTTCATCGCCACCCTGGAAGGGATGGACGAGCTGAACGTGAGCTGGGTACGATGGCGCTGAGGGGCCGATCGTACTGCATAAGACGGTCGTCGCCATCCTGGAGGGAATGGGCGAGCCGGACCGTGAATCTGGACACGATGGCGCTGAGGGGCCGATCGTGATACAGAAAAATAGTGATGATCATCTCATGGCCCTCGGCCTGTCGGTGAGTGGTAATCGTCTCACGGCCCTCGGCCGTGCTGGTGATGTGTCAAGTCTCTCTCCTGATTGGCTGTGAGAAGCCGATCGTCTGTCAGAACTCCATCCGGGAAGGAATGGTGAGCCTGAAATACATCTGGGCGATGTCCCTCCTACCTGATCTGGGGAGCTAATCGTCGTTCGTCTACCGTATCCGTGGTCCTATGTACGGACCGCTAAGCGGTGTACACTCGGTACGCAACAGACTCTGGTGGAGAACTGGTCCTTCGTGTCTGATCCATGGAGCTGGTCTTCGTTCGTCTACCGTATCCGTGGTCCTATGTATGGACCGCTAAGCGGTGTACACTCGGCACACAACAGACTCCGGTAAAGAACTGGTTCTTCGTGTCTGATCCATGGAGCTGGTCTTCGTTCGTCTACCGTATCCGTGGTCCTATGTATGGACCGCTAAGCGGTGTACACTCGGCACGCAACAGACTCCGGTAAAGAACTGGTCCTCCGTGTCTGATCCATGGAGCCGGTCTTCGTTCGTCTACCGTATCCGTGGTCCTATGTATGGACCGCTAAGCGGTGTACACTCGGCACGCAACAGACTTCGGTAAAGAACTGGTCCTCCGTGTCTGATCCATGGAGCCGATCTTCGTTCTTCCCAAGTCTCGTGAGTTACTGGTCTCCTGGTTTCGCAGGAGACGTTCGTCATCCCAACTATGAGAAGAAACAGGTTTATCCACGTCGGGATTCCCTGTCTCTGTTCGTCCCCAGTCGTGAGTTACTAGTCTTCTGGCTTCGCAGAAGACGTTCGTCATCCGTCCATAAGGGGGAGGAACCGGTACACCCTGTCAGGGTTCCCGTTTCTTCGTTCGTCCCTGTCGTGATCCTACTAACCTTCTTCCCTCGAAGAAGACGTTCGGTCATTCACCGATCGCAAGGAGGAACTGGTTTACCCTATCGCGGGTTCCCTGCTTCGTCGCCCCACGCTCGTGGCCCTACTGGCCCTCTGCTTCAGCAGAAGGTGTTCGTCGATCCACGGGTCATGGGAGGAACTGGTTTATCTTGCCGAGGTTCCCTTTGGTTCGTCTAGCCCCCCCCCCCCCCCCCCACGTTCCTACTGGCCTCCGCGTCGGGAGACGTTCGTCATACGCGGCGAAGGAAGATCTGGCATACCTCGTCAAGACTCCCTCTCTCATAGGATCTCGTCTCCCCTTCTCCCCATCTTTTTTTTTTTTTTGAGGGAGGAAAATACGTTCGTCGGTTCCAAGAATAACCACAAGTGATGTCACACATAATGGTGGTGGGATATCAAAATGAATAGAATGACGAGGCGATGGAAATGCTGGTCGTCATGCGAAGGCAATGGTCACCCTCCTGAAGGGAGGGGTGAGCCCGGTCGCTAACTCAAGAAGGTCGGCATTGGGAGCCGATATACAATGATCATAATGTCACTGAGCAGTCAGTCCTGATAATGGAGATGGCAATAGTGTCCGGTCAGGCCGATATATCCGAGCAACGGCTCTCATCCAACGCAGCGCGGGGATGAAACCGGTCTTCAAAAGATAAATATGTCGTGCCGAGAGGCCGAACATAACATGATAGTGTCGGCAGTGAGAGGCCGACCTGAAAGAATCGAACAACGGTCCTCGTCCGCGAGGTGGCGGGGACGAGGCCGGTCCTCAAAAGATAAGCACGCCGAGCCGAGAGGCCGGTCGTGGTATGATGATGTCGGCGATGAGAGGCCGAACATGATGTGACAGTGTCGGCAATGAGGGGCCGACCTGCAAGAATCAAGATGGTCTCACGGCCCTCGGCCGTGATGGTCTCTTCTAGGCCCTCGGCCTCTGAATGATGGATGATCGTCTCACGGTCCTCCGCCGTGGTAGTCCACTCTAGACCCTCGGCCTCTAGGTGTTCTCTCCTAGGCCATCGGTCTCTGGGGTGGAGATGCTCGTCTCACGGTCCTCAACCGTGGTGGTCCCCTCTTTAGCTGGCCCTGAACGTCTTCAAGACTCGGGCCGAGCGTCTTTTAATCATTTCGCTCGAGCGCGTCGAGTGGCTTCAGCTGCGCAATAAGCATGATAACGGGCCGCACGGCCCGAAAATATATATACATAGCCATCTGTGTGGCTTTCTTCTTTTAAACACTCACGATTGCTAGGCCCACGGGTTATTGTGACCCTCGGCCCGGCTCGTCGTGCGGGGTTACTGAACGTTGCAGCTCGTGGCGGGGCCACTTAGCAGCCTGCCGAACGTCTCATAAAAATACTCATTGGTCTGTGAGTTTGAGAACTCAGACCCACGCTTGTCGCACTACCCTCGAAAAACGAGGTTGAGCGCTTCGGTGCCCTCGGGCCCCACAGGCCGCGTTTGGCACAGTCACGTCGCCTAGTGGTGCAGATGGTTCTGGGGTACGGTCGTCGCTCGGGCACTTGGTGCCGTGCAGACTAATGCGTAACCCCCAAATTAAAATGCATCATCGGGGCACTACCCTCTGGAGACGCTCAGATCGCTAATCAAAGCCGATCGAGAATGGGCTAATCGGGCCCACCAACAATTAAACATTTAATAAAATGTTGGCCGAACTCACTATCACTAGAGCTTCGCTCCACATTATTTTAGTTCGGGACATTTTTATCCCTAACAAATAATAGTGATGTAACAGGCAATAATACTGATATTATCCTATCACAGGTCATTCAGACACGCTCCGTTTGCTAATTAAAGCCAAACAGGAGTGGGTCCACAGGCTCACAACAACCAGTCATTAAATTTAAATGACGGTGAAACTAATTATCACTTAGAGCATCGCTCTCATTATTTAATTTTGGGAGTTTTAATCCCTAATAAATACAGTGATAAAAATACTAGCAATACTAATATTTTAACACTTTTAAGCTTTAACACTTTAACAGAGTAATAAATGAGAAAGGCCAAGTGTTACTTAGCTTTTGCATCCTGGTGGAATTGAGCATGTTGCTCGAATTGGGACGTGCTGAATTGAGCATGTAGCTTTAATTAGTACACTCTGGCTTGGCCCACCATAACCCCCAACTTGGCCATTCGTAGATGGCTCCAAGGCTGTACCTCTCTATCGGCTCTACGCCACCTCCTCCGAACCATTCAATTTCTGCTAGCCTACAAGCTGTCTCAGTCATAGTTGCAATTTTGACTCAGTCAAAATACTCCACAAACCTCTCGGCCTTGCTCGGGCCTTTCACGGTTCAGCCATCCCACGTCCTCATCCCGCATTGCTGCCCGGATTTAAGCAAGAAACCATTAATGGCGGAAGCTTCAGTTCGATGCCGAGCTTCGACAGAAGGACAAGACATGGTCTGGCGAGGTGGCAGGGCCCACTGCTCAGGCGTTCAGACGAGGAGGGGGAAGCTAACGGCAAACGGCATCCGGCGGTGTCGCCATTCAGACTGAGGAGCTGAGCTTTGTAAGGCGGTAGTCCTCTGAAACGGCGGCCACACTACTGGCCTTGTTTATCCTTCTTTTGCGGAGGTTCCACGGCGGCAGAGACGGTGATGGTGGCTCCGTCAACTCCAACCCAGATATGGAAGAATCCAGATCTGAACTCCAGATTCCCTAGCTTCTTTCCTTTTTCCTTCGCTCGGATCAGTAGCTTCCCAGTATGAAACTTTTCTTAGCAGTGAAGAACAACATGAATCTTTTTGAACAAGATTCCCACAGACGGCGCCAGTGTTGAGTTTAATCCAACACGATATAATAAATATATGTATGAACACTCAGTTTTTACGTGAAAACCCGAAAGGGAGAAAACCACGGGACTTTTTAGGCTAATGTCCAAGCCCTCTCTTTCTTATTAATCTCTCCTCACCATTACACAGTACAATTTGAGCTCCCATTTATGGAGTATCATCTAATCTAGAGAGCTAAAGGAAGAAGGAAAAAGATCATTTACATGGAGGCTAAGCTCCCTATTTATAGGAGAATGGGAGAAGGGGCTCTCCACCCTAATGGGCCAAACGGGCCGATATCGGGCCTGGTGGGCTAAAATGGGCCTTACTGATTGGGCTTCGTACCACGTGAAGCCTTGGACTCCTGAACAGTAATAGGCCCGGATAATATATCCCAACAAACTTAATAAAATACTCTAAGCTTTGTTAGAATGCAATTTACATTCTAAAATTCCAGTTGTGAAATAAATAAGATTACATGTGGTACAATTTAATTTTAATTGCATCGTCATAAATGTTTTGTGCATTTTAAATTATGTAAATAACACCATAACTTTACATTTGTGCAAAACTATATATGATCATGATGCTAACATAACTTTTGATGTAAAGTTTGGAGTATATATATTTAATGTGCAAATTTAAAATACTTATGTCACATTCCTTCAAATTTTAGGATATCAATTAAAATTAGTTTCCCCTTTAATATATTAATAGCAATATTTCTCATAAAAGGCCAAATCTTATTAAAAAAGTGTTGTTTGCAACAGCTTCTGCTTTAAAAAAAGTGGTTTTTTAATGTAATGAGGAGAAGTGATTAAATAAAAGTTGATAGTGTTTGAAAAAAAAGTGATTTTGAAAAGTAAAAGTTGGTAGTGTTTGGTAAAATAAGTGCCTTTTATGTAATAGAAAAAGTAAAATCACTTTTGACACGAAAGTCGAGAAAAATAAAAGTTGGTAGTGTTTAGCAAAATAAGTGTTTTTTAAGCCAAAAGTTGAGAAATGTTTTTTTAAAACATTTGCAAACCAACCCTAAATTGTAATCCGTAATGTAAAGCTAACCATTTTGGATTGGGCCCAATGTTATCCATCTGATGAGATTCATAAGCCAAAAGCCCATCTCACGGCTTTTAAGCATCGCTTTGACCCCTAACCTCGCATTCGGATGCCTGCCTGCCTGCCTTTCGTTGCTGTTATTCGTTAGGGTTTTCGATTAGTAAGCTTCCGGCCATCCCTCTCTTTATACAGAGTATAAACTAAACATCGTATAATTTCAGTACTCGTCATTAATCATTTATTCTCGATTGTTGCTCATGTTTGGCTTTATTAAGAAACCATAAACGGTGCATTAGGCGCATCTCTTTGATTGCTCGAGCTAAAGATGAGGCCGATTTTCGTTGGCAATTTTGAGTATGAGACTCGCCAGTCGGATCTGGAGCGACTGTTTTCTAAACACGGGAGAGTCGATCGTGTTGACATGAAATCTGGTACTGATGCGAACTTTCTTTTGTTTGGTTGTCGTCTCCTGAATCCTGATGAACATTCCTCTTTTCCCATTGTTATTTCCAATTCCAGTTATCTTATGGTTAGTAATTTGATTGATCTGTTCTCTCCACTGCTTACTGGGCATCAGTGCTCATTGTTCAAAGGAATGTCTCAGTTAAGGCATCAGTATTTTTCTGATCTGATCTCAGTGTTTTTCTGAACATGAAATGGTGTGGTGTAATTTTTAAGTCGTGCATTTGTGATTTTATAGTCTGCAGGGAATAGTTATACATGATTTGTGTAGTAGGTTTCATTTTTATCTGCCTAGTAACACATATGTGCTCCTTACTTTCTCGATGTATATAGTCTCACTGCTTGATGTACGATACAGAATCAAATAATCCTACATGTGCTTGACCTCTCACAGGACATCAACTTTTAAACAAAGCAGTATGATTATATATGGTATTCTTTATGGTTAGATCATATCGTATGCAGCACTCTATATGTTTAGATCACATATGTGTGCAGAAGAATGGAAGTACTAGCTATGGCTGACAATAGTTGCAGCATATTCTAAAAATTGCAACCTTTAATGGGAGAGAGATCTTAATGGGACAATTTTTTCTGGAAAAATTGTCAGCCATATTTAAGTGTTTGCTTTGACGCAGGGACATGTCTTAAGGGAAAATGAGCTTCTATCTTTGGCTCAACACCTGTGTCTGCAATAATAAACATTCTAAAGCAATGGAAACCTATCTGTGCTAGCCTGCTCTCTCTTCTTCCACTCATGGATGGAAGTGTGTGCACGTCTACATTTCTTTATACGACCATCAATTCATTGACCACCCACTCACTTTACTACTATCCATGTTGACATTTAACAAGAATGGTCGTGTTGCAATACTGTCAGTTCATCATGCCATGCCTACTACCATCAATCACTACTAAGTTTAATGGGGATCAATCAAAGAATTATATCATGCCATGCCTTCTACTTGTTAGTCTGATCTCCCGCTGTGAAATTGGTGAAGCATTCCTAGGGATGAGTACTCAGAACTCACAATTGTGGATATAAACCCTTTAATAAGCAACCAAATCATCATTTACTTCTTGCAATGCCTCTACGTCCTCTTGCTTTCTTCAGTCCTTCACATGCCTGCAGGTGTTGTATTCTTATTACATTCCACACCAGGAGAGACTTGCAATATTACATGTTATATAATGTTTCTGGAAAAAACATGTAGTCCTTGGCTGATCTATATACACTGTTTTAATTTTTAATGTGTTTATTTTCAATGGTAGGGTTTGCATTTGTCTACTTTGAGGATGAGCGTGATGCTGCTGATGCTATTCGTCATTTGGATAATGTTCCGTTTGGGTATGACAAGCGCAGGCTTTCTGTAGAATGGGCAAGGGTATTTTTGGTCCTCTTGGATTCATCTGAACAACTCTTGCTAATAGAAATATTCGTTGTCTTCATTATATCATTCTTAATTTTTATTTATTTATCACAGGGTGAACGTGGCAGTAGACACCGTGAAGGAACAAAGTCTGTGGCAAACCAGAGGCCAACTAAGACACTGTTTGTGATCAATTTTGATCCTCACCGGACAAGAGTTCGTGATATAGAGAGGCACTTTGAACCGTATGGGAAAATTCACCATGTCCGTATTCGAAGGAATTTTGCATTTGTCCAGTTTGAAACTCTGGAAGAGGCAACCAAAGCTTTGGAGTGCACCCATATGAGGTAATAATCTCTTTCTTCTACCCCTTTGTGCAAATAAAGGTGGTAGAAGTTCTTCTTCAGAAGTCCTGCTACGGAATATCCTCAATAAAAGGACTCCTTTGAGTAAAACAGTTCCCCAAGTTATTTAGCAAAGCAAAGTAACAAACAAGATTAATACTCCCTCCGTATTTCAAAATTCTCTACATTAGGTTTGGGCACAACATTTAAGAGAGAAATAATAGGGGTAATGAATAGTGTAGAAAAAGTAGGAGAGAAGGTAGAAAAGTATGAAAGAGAAGATAAAAAGTAGGAAAAGTAAGGGTAATTGAGTATTTTTTTAAAGGAAAAAACTTACCAAAAAGGGAAAGTGTAGCAAACTTTAAAATACGGAGGGAGTATGACAACTTCAATAAACATTTTAAAAAAAGTTAACTTGTAACTATTTTATCTTCCTTAGAAAGAAAATTTGCACCTTGGCCAAAGAGACATAATTTCATAGGGTTTGAGAATGTGAATGAATGCCCTTAAGCAGCATTATGTTTATGCATATTTTTGTTACATTGAGAGAATGTACTCATAATTGAGTTTTTTAATTTGCAGTAAGATACTTGACAGGGTGGTGTCGGTAGAGTATGCCCTTAGAGATGATGATGAGAGAGGTGACAGGCTTGATAGCCCTCCTAGAAGAGACAATTTAAGGCGTGGGGGTGGGGACAGCCCTCCGTATAGAAGATCACCGAGCCCGATTTATCGCAGAAACAGGCCCAGTCCTGATTATGGTCGCGCGCGTAGCCCTGTCTATGATCGGTACAATGGACCCACGTATGACCGAGTCAGGAGCCCAGAATATGCAAGGCACCGTAGGTAGTTTGTCTTGAAGGTACAACAATGCGTGAGGGATAGTATGAAACTATGGACTTGTGTAAATGCATGGGTTGTGAAGCTCCATTTTGTGTCATACTTTGAATGACTAAAAGATAGGGGTCTATCTTTATCTTATTTGTTGTTGATTTAGGCCATGCACTATTTTGATATTGATATTCTGCGTACTTGAACTTTAATGCCCATATGAGGCTCTAGTTTGGTCAAGGTTATAAACATCGGGACTTGAGGACAATTAGATTAACTCATTTTCCCGCCTGTGTTTTTGAAAGCTATAGAACAGACGGACATTGTCACCCTCCGGGCCTCCGGGGCGTAGCTAGTTTTGTTCTTTGAACGCCCTTCATAAAAAATGGACCCCCTTCTTTTTTTGCTCCCATTTCATGGCACTTTTACTGGTGGTTATGGTCAAGTACTCAAGTTGTTGTAATGAGTAACTTTTATTTGGTCTGGAGCTGATTCCTAACTGGACGGGAACTGGGTGGTTTTAAGAACGTGTCACCTGGATCTTTGGTTGTAATGGTTGTATACTACAACTAGGGGTGGACTCGGGCCGGTTCGGGCCTGGGCCCGGCCGGACCTCGGTTCAGGAAAGGGGAGGCCCGGAACTGGCCCGGGTAACTCCCGGGGCCGGGCCAGGCCGGGCCTCGGTTCAATTTTTTTTGCCTTTTCCTAATCAACCCCTAACCCCCCACCCCCAGGGATGGACTCGGGCCGGGCGGCCTGGCCCGGAACCGGCCCGGCCCGGTTATTATTTGAACCGGCACGGCCCGGGAACCGGTCTGTGGGGCGGTTCGGGTCGGCCCGGCCCGGTAGGAATGTGGTTCGGGCTCGGACCCGGTTCGGGGCAAATTTTTTTTTTTTAAAATTTTTTTTAATTTTTTGGGTTGGGCTGGGTATTTTGGGCCATTTGAGGTGGTTTGGGGGTGAGGGGGAAGGGTTGGGGGTTAATTAGGAAAAGCCAAAAAAAAAAAGAACTGAGGCTCGGCTCGGAACCGGGATTACCTGGGCCGGTTCCGGGCCTCCCATTCCTGCACCGAGGCCCGGCCAGGCTTGAACCGGAACCGGTCCCCCCCACCCCCACCCCCAAACCATCTCAAATGACCCAAAATGCCCAGCCCAATCCAAAAACTTAAAAAAATTCAAAAAAGGGGGGGGGGGGGATAAAATGGCCTGAACCGGCCGGGCCGGTTCACGTTTTGAGGGGCCCGAGCCTGGACTGGAACCCCAGCGGGTTGGGCCTACCCGAACCGGTCACTGACCGGGCCACCGGGCTGGGCCGGAACAGTGCTGGTTCGGGCCGGTTCTGGGTCGGGCCACCCGGCCCGAGTCCAGGCCTAACTACAACCATTAGAAATGATTCTTTTTCTGTCAAAATAGGATCATAGTGTTTTTCCCCAAAATAATGGTAAACAAAAAAATACTTCTCAAATTAGTGTTAGGTTGAAAATATTTTCCAAAATACATAGTGGCTTAAGTAAAGAATATAAGGTAATGAGTCCCGCTCAAAATAAAATCTTCTTGTTTTCTTTAAAGTGTTATTACCTCCGTTGATATCTTCCCATATGAAAGTAGGTGAGATTAAGGGAGTGTTTGGAAATGATTCTGTTTCGGAGTAAATTAGAGCACTAGAATCACTTCTGGATTTTCACCCAAACACTCTAATTTCTGTTTCTGTTTTCTGAAAGAGCAGAAGCAGTTTTAAGAATCAAGAATCAAATCCAAACACCTCCTAAGTATAGTGAGGGTATGATGGGAAAATGAGGAAATAGTGAGGTGGAATGATGAATAAATCCCAAAAAAAGTAATTGTAGTAGTGTATTATTTTTAAAATTATTGACGTATGATGGAAAAATTTAGAAATGGGAAGATTTGAATGTTACAAACGAAAAAGGAAAGTGAAAAGATATGAATGTTATGAAGGAAGTATAACTTTTTTAGTTGTACTCTGATTATTATAAAATATATATTGAAATTCATAACTTTTTATTATCTTTCATATAACATCAATATTAAATATATAAAAATTAAAAAATAATTTAACACTTTAATATTATATGTTTTTTGTGGTGTAATATTTTTATTTGTATTCTGATTGTTACAAAAAATATATCAAAACTTAAACTTTTTTTATTATATTTCATATGACACCAAAAAATAAAAATAATAATTTAACACTTTAAAAACATACTTCGTATTATTTTTAAAAATGCTCTAAGTTTTTTATTTGTACTTCAATTGGTACAAAAAAATAAATCAAATTCATAAATTTTATGGAAAACTGTAAATTTGGTCCTCGTACTACCACGAAAAAGTCAATTAGGTCCTCGTACTTTTTAAAAAATCAATCAAATCCTCGAACTTTGTAAAAATGTTCAATTGAGTCCATTTGCGAGTTATTTGCCATGTCAGCGGGTGACCCGCTGACGTGGCGCACACGTGGCAATCCAATCAGCAGTGACTTTGCTGACTTGGCATACATGTGAAAGTCCAATCACCCATTTGATGATGACGTGGCGCGCATGTGAGAAAGTTTTTCCAATTTTTATTTATTTTCATACGACACCAATGTTGCATATGAAAAAAAATCTATTAACTTGTGCAATTTATAATTGTTTTTTTACCTTGCATGCTATTAATCCAAAGTGATGACTTAGAATCCCGCGCAAATAAAATAAATAAATGAATGAATGGATGGATGGATGGATGGATTAATTAATTAATTAATAAAAGCGATGGAGTTGGTACAATTATATTTTAATCTATCACTCTTGATTAATTGTGTGTACGGTAAAAATGATACTAAATTGCACAAATTAATAGAATACTTTGTTTGTTTGTTTTTATATATGAAACATTGCTTTCGTATGAAAGATAATGATGGTCCCGGATAGAAGTAAAAGTCTAGAGGGGGGGGTGAATAGACTTTTAAAACTTTTTCAACTTTGAAAACTTTCCCTACTAGATATGATGATCTGTAACCTTTTGAGAGATTAAAGATGCACAACGGAAGTCTTATCCTCTGAGTGAACAGTGTATTACAACTTCATAGAAGTGGATGAAGGCGTTTGGATGAGAATTAAACTTATCTAGAATAGCAGTTGTCTTGGCAGTTGTGTAAGCAGTAGTCTGGGCAGTAGAGTGGTCGCCAGAGTACTGCTGAGTCAACTGTGGAGTAAAGAAATGATTTTCTAAATTCTAATTGATCTGGGAAGGTTTGGTAAACTTTATAAGGGTTTAGTGATATGGAGATGTATTTAGGCAGGTGAGTAAACAAGCAGTAGACTTGGCAGTGGAGTGAGCAGTAGACTACTGCTAAGGTGACTGCTAGAGCAACTGCTCAATTTAGGAAGTGTTGGGTGTGTGTTTTCATAACTGAAAATAAATAAACACACGATGTATCCTGGTTCAGAGGTGATGTAATCCTCCTACGTCCAGTCCCACCCTCTTTCAGATGGATTTCCACTAAAGTATTAAGCCCAATACACTTAGTGCCAATTTGGCTGTAACCACACAACTAGCCTAGATTGAAAGGAATTTTACTAGGAGTACACACCACTCCGGGCTACTCTTTTTTTACTCAATTCACTCTTTTTTTTTTGAAAAAAAGAGATTTTATTAAGATAAATTAAGAGTATAATGCATCAAAGGAAGAAATAAAATAAAATTACCTGAAAGAAAAGAAAAAAAAAGAGCATGAAAGAAAGAGCATGAAAATAAAATAAATTAAGGAAAGAGCATGAAAGAAAGAGCTAATCCCATGGAAAATCTCTTGATTGGGACCGAGTTCTCATGTTGTGACGCCTCTTGTTTTTCCACTCCAAGCTACTCAATCCTTAGATTTTCTCAATTGATCCAGTGGGGATCAAAAGGTACTCTATTCTATGTATCCACACTTAGGATTTAATGACGCTGTCCTTCTAAGTGTTTACAACAATTTATGATGTAACAACAATTCTAGCCTCCAACTATGAACTAAACTTCCAGAATATGGCAATGACAAGTTCTAACTTGGAAGTTTAGTGAAGCATGAGTCTAAGCATAGAGCAAAGTTGAACAAACACTTTCTCTTTTGCTAGATATCTCTTAAATGCTTAGTATGATATACTCTACTCAGAAGGCTCAAAAACTTGATTTTAGACTTCATGTTTCTGCCTATATTTATAGGCCTTTCCAGTTGATCAATTTCATCCGTTGGTTGAGATGAAATTATCTTGAACGTGTTGAAATACGTCTTCTAATTGTGCTGGAGCAGATATTGTTGATCTCTTTGTCTTCACTGATTGGTTGTTGAGAGATCAATTCAAAAATCAATCTTGATGATTTGGTGTGTGCATCCCACACTATTAGGCCCATGTACTATTGAGCATTTAAGGCTCTTCAGTTTTGTCTGTAATCATACACATGCAGTGTATATGACTTTCGTGTATGCCGTGTTCTGTTTTGAACTTACACGAATTTGTGACTTCAACTTTTTGTATCAAATAAAATTTGTACTGGTAGGATCTTAATATCCTTATGAGGTAAATAAATTTTACCTTATTGCATTTTAAATTTTCAGTAAAATTTATTTGGTACAAAAAAAATTGCACATTTTAATCTGTCACTTTTGATTAGTTGATAGTGTATTTTTGTGACTGGGTAATTTATGTATCAAATAAAGTTATACTGGTAGGATTTTAAATATCCTTTTAAGATAAATAAAATTTACCTTATTACATTTTAAATTTCCAGTAACATTTATTTGGTACAAAAATTGTACATTATTAATTTGTCACTTATGAGTGGTTGATAGTGTACTCTTTTCTTTTTAGCACATCAATCAACTTTTGACATTGTAATTAAAGAGTTGGAGTACGAATCATACAGTGGTTTAGTATAGTGGCATCATCAAAATCTATCAAAATTGGGTACTAACAGATAATAACAAATTATGAATTTTGATATATTTTTTGTAATAATTAGAATACAAATAAAAAAGATACAACGCTTTAAAAACGGATAATTTTTAAAGTATTACATTATTTTTTGATTTTTAAGTATTCAATATTGGTGTAGATAATAAAAAGTTATGACTGTTTTATATTTTTTTTACAATCGGATTAACCAAACATTCCAGCCCAGCTGGTTGTGAGGCTACCGTGCCTAGTGGGAGGTCTCAAGTTCGAAACCCGCTAGGCACATACGGGTTCGAAACTCAATGGAGTGAGTTTCAGCCCTGATTACTCCAGGCCCCCCAGCCCCCTCCCCCAGCCCCCTGGAGTAAAAAAAAATTGTAACAATCGGAGTACAAATAAAAAAGTTATAGCACTTTAAATAAAATAGGAGAGCCAAACACCTTGTGGCTTGATGACATCACTGTGACACTCCAAAAGAGGGGGTCACAAGTTCGAAACACATCCCAGTCAAGGATGTTGGCATTTAACAGAA